GAAATCTTATACTAATGACTCTAAGTAAACTCTGGGTAACATCATCATTAGTATGGCTGAATCAGTAACGACTGATTTTTTTCCCCAGGACCCTACGGGCACACCTTCCCCTGGATATCAACTTCAGGGGATGCATGAAGGGTTTTCAGTTCCAAAAGAAAGATTTCAATTTATTAGAGCAGAAAGAAACTCTGGGAGTTGGTTATGGGTGTCCAGAAGATTCTCTTGTAAGTACCAGTCAAAAGTTTTTAATAAATATGCACACAACTAATCACTCTCGAAAGCTGGAAAAGCTCTTGTCAGTGCCTTTATGATTCCATGTACGCTTTGGGTCTCCTTCTTCCACCAACAGAAAGAAGGATGATTAAGCTAGAAAGGCCTTTGGCAGTCATTTGTTACTTGTCCAGTTGCTTCACTTTTCAATGGGCGGGGATCCAAAGCCCAGACAGGCAACGTGAGCATCATTACTCACTCAGAGTATAAGAAGTGGACAAGCCAAAACTCCATCTGTTAGAAGAATGAAGAGGAAAGTTAACATGCCTGGATTCCATCATAAACCCAAAGTCAAAACATAAACTATTAATATAGAAACTAACAGGCAAGGCCTTTGATATGTGAGAAACTGAGATTTTAAGTATTTGATAACTTCACTGTAATAATGCCATATTCACTTCTAAAATTTGCATTGACATACAGATATCACGCAGAGCATATTTCAATGGGCAGAGTTTCATTGCTTCAAGTCAGAAAATATCTTTCTTTGATGGCTTCGAAGGAGGTTTTAGTTTCCGAACATTACAGCCAAATGGGTTATTATTCTATTATGCTTCAGGGGTAAGTATTTGTTTTTTCTTGAAGAAACCCCTTTGTGACAATGTTTTGCTATTAAAAACATTTTTCATGCATATTAAAAGTGATTTTTTATCCAGATTAATGTTGACTCAGACGTACATATACAGGATACCTCATTGCAGACACTTTACAAAATATAATATATATTGTACATCAGGAGTTCTTAACCTGGCATTTGAAGACTCATCCCCCAGGGTTTCATGGATAGAAGTCAAGGGGTTTATGGACTTAGGTGGGAAAAAATTACATCTTCATTTTCTCTAACTAAAATTTAGTATTTTATTCTATTATGAATAAAGGCAATAAACCACAGTAGTATTAGCAGTACCTGTGACTTTGTCATTTACAGAAATCACAGGTATTTTTCATATCACATTACAGTTGTCACAGATATCTCAAAATATCATTTCTGCTCATTGCTCTTCTAAATTACAGTGGTTATTAGATTTGCTACTAGGCCTTGTTATTGAAAGCCTTAATAAGACATATACATTTTACTATATCACAGATTGATTTTTTTAATATTTTTAAAATGTGTTTTAATGGAAATTGTTTCCTTTGTATTTCTGCATATTTTGATTTATGCATTTTTAAAATATTAGTTAATAAAGAGGTCTATATGTATCACCAAACTGCCAGTGGAGTCCATGGCACAAAAAAGTTAAGAAAAATCTGTGCATATGTTAAGAACGAATATGTGTGCTTTAGTTAATAAAATAGTAAAAAGGACATGCTCTTCTGTCCTTGGATTTTCTATAGAGCATGAGCTCAGCTTATAAAGATATGTTATTTCAAGAATAAAATAGGATCTGAAGGAGGTTTGGTGACCCTAAGATCCAACTGATTTATCTCTGAAAGCTCATCACTGATAGACCGGGTTATAGTATAATTTATGAAAGCAGCTTTCATTTTTCATATATATTGCTTATATCTGTCACATTTCTATTAAATTTAATTTAAATCAGTAGCATCTATGAAAATTTAGCCAAAGTATTTTGTAGGACTGCCACAAAATCTTCAGATACCCATGGTTAGTCAATAACACTTTCTGTTCACAAAAAGCAGTCTCTGCTGAGGGTTAACTTTAGAGGCTGGTGCCCAGATAAGGAAACAGAAGCAAGATTATCATTTTGCCAATATTTTGAGACAAGCAATAAGCAAATTCAGAAAAAGGGGTGTTTTTTTCTGCCTCTATAGATAAAAATAGTGAAACACTTAAAAAGGCAAAACTAGCAAACTAACCCTTGCCTAGTCAGCCTGCTGCGTCCCCAAGGGAGCCCAAATATTGTATTTACAAAAGGGGTTAAAAGTGAGACTGATGACAGAATAGAAATGCCTGAGTTAGGAAAGAAGCTGTGACTGGGGCAACAACTCTCAGCATGACAAAATCACCAAAAATTTTCAGCTCAGAATATTGAGACTTTTTTTTTCCATTGAAACATGTCTAATTTTATAGACAACACCAATACAAGCAATAGAACATTCTCTTTTATTATTCACAGAAATTATTTTACAAGCAAATTTCTTGTAAAAGCTGTGTTCCTTTTCCTTTAAGCAACACCTTTATGTAAATGCTGAAAGCATGTCAATCGCTGCAATCCCTGGGCTCCTGACTTAAACCCTGTGCTCACATTTCAGTCAGATGTGTTCTCCATTTCACTGAATAACGGTACTGTGATCATGGATGTAAAGGGAATCAAAGTTCAATCGCCAGATAAGCAGTACAATGATGGGCTGTCCCACTTCATCATTACCTCTGTCTCACCCACCAGGTACAGCTCCTTACTTTGTATTCTTTCCACCATATGTCTTTATTTGTAGGGCATGATTCTGTCAAATGACCTTATGAATAATAGGCTATTTCTATTACTTTGGTTGTTACTGGGTGCTGTCGAATCAATTCCAACTCATAGTGACCCTATAGGACAGAATAGAGCTGCCCCACAGGGTTTTCTAGGCTGTAATCTTTACAGGAGCAGATTGCCAAGTCTTTCTCCCACAGAGACACTGGGTGAGTTTGAACTGCCAACCTTTCAGTTAGCAGCCAAAGGCTTAACCATTTGGCAACCAGGACTCCTTTTGCTTTTCTAGTGTTTAAAAAAGACAGAGGGGTGGGATCTTACTTTCTTTAAAAACAAATTGCTACTAATTTTCAAGACATAACAAATAAGTCACTATAAAATTACTTAATACCAATATCAAGGTTTTTTTTTTTTGTTTTTTTCTTTTCCAGTAAAACAATAAGTTATAACTCCTTGAGGGAAGTGGCTATGCATTCTACTGGTGGAATGGAGTGTAGTATATTGTACATTGAAAGAGCTCAGCAAATATTGGTTTAGTTTAGATTTTGAATTAAACAATTGAATAAGTTACATTTATGGCTACATTTTAAAAAGCTTTACCTTTAAAATACCTAATACGAAATTTCTTCTCATAATAAGAAAACTTTCTGGAGTAAGAAATAAGCCTCTAGTGTAGAGTGCAGATATTCTATGTCACAAATGCAAAAGGAATATTAATAAGTCTTTTCTAGACTTCACTTCCAATGAAGATCAAACTCATCCAATGTGCTTTACATTGAAAATGATCTCCCGCAAATGTCATAAAAAAATCACCATGATTCATGTTTTCTTCACACACCAAAATAATACAGATGACTAGTTGTCTGACCTTCTTCCTTTTATGGGTTTAAATTTCATTCATGGTTTGGAGGCTGTTTTTTGTATATAGAAAATATTCAACCATTTTATCTCGGGCTACATGAAGAACATGGCAACTTTTTGGCTGTTCATTAACCAGTTGTTCCATTTCAGTTCCATGAGAAAACCTGCTTATCCAACCTAGACTGAAATTTAAGGTAACATGCTAGTAGTGTGGTGTGTGAAGAAGTTTTTTTCTTTGCAGATATGAACTGATAGTAGATAAAAGCAGACTTGGGAGTAAGAATCCCGCCAAAGGGAGAGTAGAACAGACACAACCAAGTGAAAACAAGTTTTACTTCGGTGGCTCACCCATCAGTCCTCAGTACAGTAATTTCACTGGCTGTATAAGCAATGCCTACTTTACCAGGTACACTATTTTTATTATTCATAAATATGTATGACTGAGAATGAAGATCAGGTCAATAATGAAAATATATACATCATTAAAACTGAAAACTGTGAAATTTATCAGAGGCATTAGAGGGTCATATTTGAAAGCTTGCATGTGCTTGGACAACTGACATACTTAGGTTCGTGTATAGGGTTTTTGCCCTTTAATTTGAATGACCTTGCCTAATTAAGCCTGTTTCTTAACTGTAAAATGCAGATTATAATAGTGTCTTCCGCATAGGCTTGTTATGAGAATTAAATGAGATAATGTACATGAAGCACCTTGCACAGCCTCTGGCACACAGCAATCTGTAAATATTGGATGCTGTTATTTTTGTACTTACTATAAATGGTATAGTATAGAATAATGTCCCCAGATCCTTGGTACAGGTTTTTAAATGTCTTCTTATTTAATGCATGACTTTAAACAAAGCCGTTAATCTAGGTCCTTAACAAAGGCAATGGGCATTCCCTGAGCACAAGAACATAAACAAAGAACAAATGTAATGCAGATTGAAGGGCACAGAGGCTGTCCCAGTCGCCCAGGGGGTGCAGAGAGGCAAAAGACATTCATCAGTCAGAATGTTCTGGTACCAGGCACATAATTATTGATTAATTGATTGAATAATAATTTAAAGGTGTTCTCGTTAAGATTGTGGTTGATGGATAAAGGCCCATCTCAGACACACACACACACACACACACACACACACAAAATTGTATAGGTTCTTTGACTTCCAGTGTTTTCATCATGCAATTTTAAGCAGTATTTTTAAAGCGTTCTTCCTCTATTACAAACACAGGTTGGACAGAGATGTGGAGGTTGAAGATTTCCAGCGATATTCCGAAAAGGTCCACACTTCCCTGTATGAGTGTCCCATTGAGTCTTCACCATTGTTTCTTCTTCACAAAAAAGGAAAAAATTCCTCAAAGCCTAAAACAAATCAGAATAAAAAGGTAAAAGATAATGCTGTGCCACCTTCCCAATTGCTCTCATGCACACAGCTCTAGACACTGCTGTTTTATAGAATTTACTCTAGTCAGCAACTGTGTATGTATGAAAGATGGGATTCTTGTAGGATCAGATATACCAGTTTGCCAGCTTTGTTACATCAGTTTGTTCCCAAAGAAACTATTTGAATCAGCTTTTGCTGGTACTCCCAACTGCTTTTTATTACACTTGTTAAATCCCTCTATACTTAACAATTTATGTATATAAAAACCAAACCAGTTGTCGTCGATTCAATTCCAACTCACAGGGACCCCACAGGACAGAGCAGAACTGCCCGATAGGCTTTCTAAGGAGTAGTTGGTGGTTTCAAACTGCCAGCCTTTTGGTTAGCAGTCAAGCTCTTAACGACTGTACCACCAGGGCTCCATGTATGTAATATATACTATTTAATATTATTAATTCCCTGGTATCATTTATCTTTATGTAACAATCTCAGACTTCTGTCACATTTGTGGAAATTACTAAAGTTCCTGATCTTACCTTTGTTTTCTGTAATTCCTTGGCCTTTACTTCACCACTCACATGCGCAGTTGAGCTGTGGCATCAACTAGAGCAACTACATCATCAAATTCTTAAATTCTAAAATTCCATCCTCTAACTACTATTCTCTCTCTCATTATTTACTCCCAGCATTCATAATCTTTGCCTTCATTGCAGTTGAAACCCTTAGTCCCTTCTCATTCTTTCAGTATGTCTCCCTTCATGACCTGATTTTATCTATGCACTCAGGTACCCTGGTCCAAGTCAACATCATCTCACATCTGAATTACTGTAATAACCTTCCAAAAGTTTTCATTCCTCTGCTCAAAGTGGCTCCCCACTGCACTCAGAGTGAAAGCCCAAGCCCCTACAATATCACAAATAATAACAGTTGCCATCGACTAGACTTCAACTGATGGCAACCCCATGTGTGCCAGAGTAGATCTTTGTTCTATAGGGTTTTCAACGTCTGCTTTTTCTAAATTAGACCACCAGGACTTTCTTCTAAAGTGCCTCTGGGTGGACTTGAACTTCCATTAGCAGCTGAGCACGTAACTGTTTGCACCACCCAGGGACTCCATACAGTATCACAAGGGGCCCTCTAAGGTCCAGGACCCTTTACCTCTCTGAGCTCATCTCCCCTCCTCCGCCTCACTCACTCTGCTCCCCATACTGGCCCCTGGCTCTTCTTGTAACAGGCCATGAATACTCGGGTCTGTACTGGAGCTCTTCTGCCTGCACCAGTCCTCGCCCAAATATCAGCATGAACAACTCCTTCGTCTCCTTACAGAATTGCTCAAATCTCACCAGCTGAATAAGGCCTACCCTGAACACCTGTTTAATACCTCAGCCTGCCTTCTGTCCCACACCAGTACTACTGATCTCCTTCCTCTTTTCTACTTATTCTTTTGTTCACAGCACTTGTCACATTCTAATTTATCATATACTTTATTATGCTTATTATTTATTTCTGTCTCCGCTGCTGTAATTCAAGCTCCTTTGCACCTAGAGCACCTAGAGCAATGCCTGGCACAATATAGATATTCAATAAATATTAGCCATCTCCATATAAGAGTTATTATGAGGATTAAATGAATGAATGCATGAAATACACTTAGCACAGTACCTGGAACATAGTGAACATTCAGGGAATTTTACCTGTCAGATCTCTATAAAGCTTTGTGAGTGTTTCTGGAGAATTGATTCCTGCAATTGGAATTGGCTTGGCCAAAGGGAATGTGCATTTTTATTATTGAGCAATAGCAACTTACACTCCCACAAACAGCATTTGAAAGAACCAATTGCCCTACACAATTGCCAGCATTTAACAGAATCAAGAATTTAGAATCTTGCCAATCTAATGGGAAAATATGGCATCTCCTTGTGGTTTTAATCTGCATTTCCCTGATGCCTAGTGAGTTTGAACATCTTTCAGGGGAAGAACTGATTGCCTTTCAAGGCCAGCTTCTGGACCAATCAAGAAGCAAGAAGAGTTTCCACCAGCTTCTCACTATTAAATGGTCTTTCACTGACCATTATACCTTGAACCAAATATCTATTGCCGTTGAGTTGATTCTGAATCATAGCAGCTCTATAGGGCAGAGTAGAACTGCCCCATAGGGTTTCCAAGGCTGTAGTCTTTACAGAAGCAGACTGGACATCTTTCTCCCGCAGAGTGGCTGGTGGGTTCAAACCCTTCAGTTAGCAGTCGAGAGCTTAACCACTGCGCCACCAGGGCTCCTTATACCTTGAACACTTCCCCATATGTTTGAGCTTACGTGGGCTGCTCTTTAGACTCTCCATGAAACTTCTCCTTCGTTCACACATTATTTCTTTATCCACGTTAATAATTTTGTTCACATAAAATCAAAACTTAATAGTTTTTCGGTATTCCTTTCCTGAATTTGACATGAGACACTTTTTTAAAGTACCTCTGGCAGAGAGATCATTTCAATGATTTTTATAAAGGATTAAGCTAGTTTCACCTCTCAGAGGATACTGTGAGATTCTGACGGGGTCTTACTGTCATCTTCATATATATTGATGCTAAAAAATTTATTTTGAGAGTTTTTTTTAAACTGGTACTTGAGTACTGGTCAGTGGGTCAAAGGCAGCAGGTTAACATTCTAGTCTGATGAGAAAGGTCAACCTTCTAAAGCAAACATTGTTTACCACTTTATATGAACATCGTTTTCTGTATGAAGCTGTCTATCAAATGTAGTTTCCTAACAAACATTCATAGTCTCAAAGTTACAATCAACAACACTTGAAACTATTAATATAAACCTTTCAATATTATAGAAAAACTCTTAGACTTCCTGTCTAGTCTCTTAGACAGAAACTCAAGTTTGTAATGACAAGATACAGAATCACTATAGATTTCACTTATACTTCGTGGTAACTAGCATGTCAATGTTCGCTAATATTCCCCCATATTTACGCTTGCCTCAATTGCTTCTTAAATAACTGCCGAGAAACACATGTGACCTCTGGTTTAAGTTTTTACAATGGCTAAATCAAAGCCCTTTGCACTTTAAAATAATTTATTTTAATAATAACTTCCTTCTATTCTATTTTAGGAAACGCTGGTGGCGTAGTGGTTAAGAACTACGGCTGCTAACCAAAATGTTGGCAGTTCGAATTCACCAGGATCTCCTTGGAAACTCTATGGAGCAGTTCTACTCTGTCCTATAGGGTTGCTATGAGTCAGAATTGACTCAATGGCAATGGGATTTATTCTATTTTATGCAATTATTATAATTCATTTAACCATTAATAGACTTTCAGTTGTTTCCATTTTTCCCCTTTTATAGGTGAAGATCCTTTGTACATGAATCTTTGATCATATTGCTGAATAAATTATTAGAGTAAATTTCTATCCTCTAAATTTTAAAATCAGCAGTACAATTTTAAGAGCACCAGATAATTTTTAAAAATTGTTCCACATCCTGTCACATAAAAGTGTTATATATCCTATCAGTGAAAATATTCTTAAATATTTTGAAGATGTTGCTAATTATATTAACTTCTTACACAGCATATGTAAATAATAATCAGTGGGTTAAAGTGATATTGTTGCCTATGATATAAAGATTGTATGGACTGAGTCACTCAGGGTTATTTTATTGCCAACTTTTCCATTTTTTAGTATTCTTTAAGATGTGCACTTAATTTAAATGATAGAGTGGCTGTTGCTATAGCTTCAGTTTTGCTTTGCTTTACTATCAAAGACTAGAATTTTGGGTTTGTTAACATGCTATGTTGTTGTTGTTGTTACTACTACAGTTGCTGCAGTCATTCGCCAAAGGTGGTAGAGGGAGGGAAGAGAGGTGCCTAATTTTTTATGAATGGAAAAGGCATAAATAATACACACTTTTATTATTATTTGTGTTAGCATTAATGGTAAAGCTATCACAAGTTAATTTTTGTTGCTAACATGTCACTTTTATCCCTTCATATGACTTATCATTTCCTTTTTTTATAGGGAGAGAAAAGTAAGGATGCACCTTCATGGGATCCTGTTGGCCTGAAATTCCAACAGCGGAATGCTCCGAGAGATTCTCATTGCCACCTTTCCAACAGCCCTAGAGCAATAGAGCGTGCCTATCAGTATGGAGGGACGGCCAACAGCCGCCAAGAGTTTGAACACTTAAAAGGAGACTTTGGTGAAAAGTAAAGTAACATATTGTCCTTCCTGAAATTTAATGCCTGACTGGATTCCATCTTTGTTTGCCATATGCCATCTTTTTCTTATGATCTTTCCTCTCTGTGCCACCTTAATCCTTTCTTTTATTATCAAAATAAATACTAAATAATATATAATTCATGTTTTCCAGTAAATTATTTTCTCTGTGACTTTGTCCTCAGATGTAAAGTACACAAGACAGCATTCTCCCAGGAGTTTGCTGTGTGATATCAAAAAGAATTAAGCATAGGCAGATGGGACAAATTTCATATAATTAATTTATCATCTCACCTTGATATCACCTTTCCTCCCCCATGAAAATTACTTTCAGATTGTAAATGGGAATGTGTCCAAACTATTAGAATGTTGATAAGGAAAGACACTGAAAATACAAATACACTTGTATGTTTATGCTTGTATGTCTATGCCCCACCACCACCCAACGTCTTCCCAGTGTCTCACAGACCTCCAGGTTGTTTAATATTATTGAATCGACTCAGCAGCAATGGGTTTTTGTTTTTTTACATAGATCTTTCAAACATTCATATAGCAGTGTTTTCAACAAAAAACTTCTAAACCAGAAAAAGAAAAACCCATTGCCATTGAGTCAATTCCAACTCATAGCGATCCTATAGGACAGAGTAGAACTGCCCCATAGCGTTTCCAAAGCTGTAAATCTTTATGGAAGATTTACACATCTTTCTCCCACAGAGTAGTTGGTGAGTTTGAACCACTGATCTTCTGGTTAGCAGCTAAGCACTTTAACCACTGTGCCACCAAGGCTTCTGAGAAACCTCTAATGCCTTCTAATTCACTACTTGCCTAATCAGCAGAATCAATATTTTGTATTCTTCAGGAAGAATTTAGAGTTAATCAAACTAGAAGTTAGCCTGACGAATGTATCTTATCCACAACCTAAAGCTAAATTTCTAGAATATTTTTAAAAATTTCTACTCACCTAGGTGGCTGTTTTTAACATGTGATATCCATCAATTAATTTTTACTGGGAAAAGATTTGAATTTGTATTTTTGATAGTATACAAATCATATTGTTTCTATACAAATTTCTATATACATATTTATTACTCACTAGCATTTTGTCCAAATGAATAAGCTTCCTTAACGTATAGATTTTTATTAAACTAATTGCAACCATATTTTCAAAGCCAGACACAATATGATCCTTAACTGAAACAGTACTTTAAATTTGGAACATATCCCTGTTGTATAAGGAAGCAAAGGAGAAGGATTTAAATTTTTGAACCAGCACTTACCCAATATTCATTAATAATACTAAGGGATAATTAGAAGAAATGCTACTTGGGGTTAAATGAATGGTACTTATTTCTCCTGTACACTGTCTTGCTTTGAAGTTAGAGGTTATCTTCAGTCTCATTTTGCTGATGGTAAGCTTTCTCTTTTCATTTACCAGATCTCAGTTTTCCATTCGTCTGAAAACTCGCTCCTCCCATGGGATGATTTTCTATGTCTCAGATCAAGAAGAGAATAACTTCATGACTCTATTCTTGGCCCACGGCCGTTTGGTTTTCATGTTTAACGTTGGCCACAAGAAACTGAAGATTAGAAGCCAGGAGAAATACAATGATGGATTGTGGCACGATGTAAGTTGAAGGCAGAGAACAGTGCTATCAATAAACATTCACCAGTGTCAAATATACTGACACTAATGCCCCCCTATTAGTCTCTCTAGAAACATCCATTTTAAAATTCTGCTGCTGTACACCCAAAGTTCAATTTCAAAACTTTTTTTAATTAATTCCATATAAAAATCTGGAAGCGTATTATTTAAAAAGAGACACAGACTGGGTGTAATTGTTATAACCAAAGCATCAACGGTCAACATAAACTCAAGTTTGGTTTCTAATGATTTGTCATTTGACTTTTTTTCCCCTGCTACCTATACAGGTTCTTAATGTTCAACAACTGTTCCCAAGTGTCTTTTATAGTGCAAAGCAGTAGGCTAAGCTGGGGAAGATGCAAAGTGAAAAGTAAATCCAAACAGTTAGGACGACAGGAACCACAGGGGAATAGCTAAATATTGAAGCATGTATGCAGTGGCAACAGTAAGCAACATAAGATGTATTACAATTAATTACAATAAGTTCAGGAGAGGGAGAGAACATGTGGGCTGAACCAGCTGGAAAGAGATTCATAGAGAACTCTGGTAAATTTAAGTTGTATTCATAAATTAAGCCTGAAGCTTTAAATCATTCCATCTAGAAGTCAGAAAATACACGGTTCAGTTCCTCTACTACATTTTCATAATACCATACATAATAATGAAGTGGTAATCAGAAGATGAGCAGGGAAAAGCACCTGGATATATAAAGCAAGGAGGCCTGGAAACATTTCACAATAAAGGCATATGCTGCACAACAAAAGCAGAATTAATGAGGACAGAGTTTTTCACGTTCTAAAAATTGGATAGCCAGGTGCCTACTATGCTGAGGAAGAAGAGACAAACTCCTGACCTTCAGGAAAGGTACCACCTTTTTAAAGAACTTTCTGTGGATTCCCCACAGTATTACAGTAGCAAAGTTGGGAGGAGAGGCACCACAGCCTTTCTCTCAATCTTGGGATGTATTTGGGACATGCTATTTTCCTTTTCTCCATACAGGTGATATTTATTCGGGAAAAGAGCAGTGGCCGACTTGTAATTGATGGTCTTCGAGTCCTAGAGGAAAGTCTGCCTCCTACTGAAGCTTCCTGGAAAATCAAGGGCCCTATTTACTTGGGAGGCGTGGCTCCTGGAAGGGCTGTGAAAAATGTCCAGGTAAGACAGGGAGGAGCAGGTAGAGCCATTGACCTTTAGAGCTGGAAAATCATTTAATCCAGGCCCTCATTTTACAGATTAGGAAGCTGGCAAGAATAAAATTGATAAAATTGTAGTTTGGCAGCACATGAAATATCAAAGTGAGTACTGCTGTCCTACTGAGGTCCCTGCGTGGTGGAAAAGGTTAATCTGCTTGGCTGCCAATCAAAAGGTTGGAGGTTTGAGTCCACTCGGAGGCTCCTCAGAAGAAAGGCCTGATGATTTACTTCCCCAAAATCAGCCATTGAACACCCTATAGAGCACAGTTTTACTCTGACACACACAGAGTGGTCATGAGTCAGAGCCAACTCTTACTGTCAGACTGGCTGTCTGTTTGCCCAGTGGCATTAGGAAGTGAGGAGTGATAATTGATTCTAAGGTAGAGGTGAAATGAAAAAAGTTTCAGAGTTGTAAATTATCATAAAAAGTTATGTCTCAAGGGGATGCTTATTTATTCAGCAAGTAGCCATACTTTTAGAAACAAATAAATACCAAGAAAGAAAGCAAGTGTTTCCATTATATATTATTGAGTGGAAAAAAGCAAGTTTCAAGCCATTACATAAACTATGATCCTATTTGTGTTTTGTACACACACATACACATACCTGTAAATGTGCAAGGAAAAGTGGTTACTTCTTGGGAGAGGTAAGTGATAGTGAGAAACGTAATTTTTGTAATTTAAAAATTTAAACTATTTCACCTTAAAAAATATTTAGCAATAAAGGGAATGCATCAAATGATTAAATTTTCTTAACATAAATATGGATTTGATTTTAGCACAAAAAGTTAATACATGTCTAACATTCATTACTATGTGGATAAAACAAACAAACTAGAAGGTTCACATTAAATATTAGTTAAGTAGCCCCAGTTCCATGACAATCTCTTTATATATATATATATATACATATATATATAATTCTACTTATTTTGTTGTTGTTGAGAATATACACAGGAAAACATACACCAATTCAACAATTTCTACATGTACCTTTTAGTGACATTGATCACATTCTTGGAGTTGTGCAACCATTCTCACCCTCTTTTTCTGAGTTGCTCCTCCCACATTAACATAAATTCACTGCCCCCTAAGGTTCCTATCTAATCTTTCGAGTTGCTGTTGTCAATCCCATCCCATATAGATAGCTCTTAAAAGAGCATGATGCTCAAGGCAGACATTTTTTACCAGTTAAACTAAACTATTATTTGGTTTTAAGAAGACTTCAAGGGATATTTTTGATTTAACGTTTAAAGGTTATCTCGGGGCAGTAGTTTCAGGGGCCTTGACAATCTCTTTAAAAGAAAGATTTCCAAATGCAGTATAAAATCAGTTTGTCTAAGGTGGCCCAAGTTTCACATTGTATGGTATGATAAATTCTCAACCACTAAAATAGCTAACGAAGCCAGAGATGTAAGCTTTCTGCTGTTTATTCAACCACTGCAGATTTAACAGGTAATAACTTTACTAGCCTTAAGCAGCAGTAGATCATCTTGAGTATAGCTGTCATTCTTGAAGAATAATTCTAACATTTAATTTTATTTATTTAAATTTATTTCATCTGATATATATATAATTTAAGGAGCCCTGGTGGCTCAACGGTTACACGCTCAGCTACTAACCAAAAGGTCAGCAGTTCGAACCCACCAGCCGCTCCACAGGAGAAAAAGATGTGACAGACAGCTTCCTTAAAGATTACAGCCTTGAAAACCTTATGAGACAGTCCTACTCTGTTGTTTCGGGTCACTATGAGTTGGAATCGACTCAGCGGCACACAACAACAACATATAGAAATTTATACCTGCAGTTGCAAGTTATTTCATCACGGTCTATGTAAAAAATCCCATAGCTTAATTATTGCAGGCTGACATCAAAAACAAAATTCCAACTTGGAGAAACTCGTTAAAGGAACTACCTTAAAAAGGATTAATCATTTAGATAGCTACAGTAAATAAGGCAAGGAATTTCTTAGTTTCTCTCAGGACTTATATCCCATCATTATTTCTCCTTGGTGTATCTGTGGAGCCCTGGTGGCACAGTGGTTAAGAGCTCGGCTGCTAACCAAAAGGTTGACAGTTTGAATCCAGCAGCCGCTCCTTGGAAACTCTATGGGGCAGTTCTACTCTGTCCTATAGGGTCACTATGAGTCAGAATTGACTCGATGGCAACAGGTTTGGTTTTAGGCTTTGGTTTGGTGTATCTGTGTTGAGAAAATGAACTTTAAGAAATGTCTTCTTCTTCCCTCAGATTAACTCAGTCTACAGTTTCAGTGGCTGTCTCAGCAATCTCCAGCTCAATGGGGCCTCCATCACCTCTGCTTCACAGACATTTAGTGTGACCCCTTGTTTTGAAGGTCCAATGGAAATGGGAACATACTTCTCAACAGAAGGAGGATATGTGGTTCTAGGTAATCCGACTGATTTTGTACAATATGAATCGTTAAACACTTCCTTCCTGGATGGAATATCGGGCCCACAGCTAAAACTTTTAAGAATGTCAAATAACCCAGCTCTAGAAATTGACCTCTTTCCACAACCACCACCTTTGTCCATCTACTACTCCAAAACAGAAATGGCATCTTCATCCCTGTCTCAATCCATGACCAGAGCTTCCCCACAGCTGCCAAAACTGTGGATGACCCTGGCTCCTTTAGAACTTCCCACGCTGCTCTGTGGCCTGATCCACATCATCTCCTGACACCTTGTTCTTCTAGGTCTTGCTCTGATCCCTCTTAGCAGACCCGCTGTCCCTAGTAAAAGCTGGTTCCACTTCCTTCCCCATCTGTGCAGTGCCTGCAGGAAATACTGACCTTCAGAAATTTTATTTCTATATTTTTATTTTCCTCAACCATTACTCTCTTGGTTAACAAAGTTTTTGTTGTATGCCTACTATATGCCAGCCACTATGCCAAGTAATGAAACATAACATCTCCTAAAAATAAAATTCTGAAAGGCTACACACAATCACCACCCAATTTACTTCAACAAACATTCTACGGAGCAACCATTAGGTATGAGGAAGGCACAGAGATAAGTTATTTGGAAAGATAACAGGAGAAGGGTATAAAACCACATGTTCCCTACCCTCCAGGCACTTAGGTACTTTGTACATCCCTGGAGAAAAAGAAAAGAAATTACAATGCAGCCAACTATACTTTCTTAAACTATCACTATGCCCAATAGAATAACCAGAGGTAATATTTCCTCTCTTGTCTAGTTTGTGATTTTATTTCCTGTCTTTATCCCTACCAAAACATCTGCACTCACATTTCTCAGCCATTTGGTGAGGACTTCATTGAATTTCACTGATAAAACACTAAAGGCCTGGACACCTTGAGATGTATAGCAACCTACACAATTTATGTATCTCATTAATAGCAGAAAAAATTAAAAAATGATTTATAAGAAGACACATCAAGTGAACATTATGAAGATGTTCAGGTTTGCAATGAGTCTCTTGGAGTGAACACACCTATTCTTAATAAGAATTAATTTTCTTGGATCACTGCACTCCTACCTCCTTTTGTTCTCACTTTCTCTCTCCTCTGAAAGGCTGTGCAACACTGGCACCAGTTAGTTTTTTGTAGTCGTTGTTGTTTAAGAATTATTTTAAAATGTAGGTCTGATCAAGTCAGCCACCTTGCTCAATGACTGCAAAATAGAGTCAAGCTTCCCTACTTCAGCATTACAGCCCCTCTGGGTGTGACTCCAGCCTGCCTTCCCCACTCACCGTGCCTCCTTCTCCCCCTTGTAGCAGACAATCCAGCCATACCGGGCTGCTCAGTGCTAGCCAAACGTCCCAGTCTCTGAAACTGTGTACAAACTACTTCCTCGGCCGAGATTGTCCTTCTTCCTTCTCACTTTTGAAATATCAAATGGCCTTGCTAGTTGGAATTAATTTCTGCTCCCCCAGACTGCCAAAGCACATGATGTATTGTCAGTGTGTTGTTCCAGCTCCCACACACAGGAGGGGTATATTAGTTATCTTATTCTCCCACAAAGCCTTCCACAGTGTTTTTTGACATGAAAAATGCCACATTCTACGTAGCTGTTGAAAAATACGTCAGCCTTTCAAATATAGATTTAAAAGTATATAATTACAGAATCACATCATAGTTACAAAATGTATGTTGCTGTTCTTGAATGCTGATAGTATTTCTCTCCACAGATGAATCTTTCAATATTGGATTGAAGTTTGAGATTGGATTTGAAGTACGTCCCAGAAGCAGTTCCGGAACCCTTGTTCACGGCCACAGTGTCAATGGGGAGTACCTAAATGTTCACATGAAAAATGGGCAGGTACTGTCTTAAAAAAAAATTTTTTTTAACAGTCTGTCTCCTCTGACCTTGGATTCTAGATCTGAAGCAAATTTATTTCACAGGATTATTTCATCAATCTTTCCTTAATGGAAAAAAAAGGAGGGTGGGGAGAGCTGTAACATAAATCTAAATGCAGGCAATATTTGGACTCAGAATTATATGTTGGGAATTGATTTGATTAGAACAAAGAGCTGTGAAAAGATGGCACAACTATCAAAATAAAAAGATTATCAATAATAACAACATAAAGAGTTTTAACAAAACAATTGGAAGAGAACTTTTTTCACCAAATGGAAGCAGCAAACATATCCAACTATCAAAACCAACAAACAATAAAAAATCTATCCATCCATCTATATATCTGTAATATATATACCAAATATGTATTTACGTACATATACATACTATTCTCAATTGCTAGAAATTTTTTAAAAAATGTTATAATTAAACATCACGTTCATCCTAAAATATTATTGTTGTTAGGTGCCGTGGAGTTGATTGCAACTCATAGCAAACCAATGTATTATTATTAAAGAAAACTCAGGAAGGTATTTGAATATGTATTAAGGAAAAAATAGTATTTTTTATGACTCTAACTTAATATAACTGATTTATTTGGGTTCTAGTACATTCTATTAAACCATATAACAATAAAAACTAATCTTTATATGGTGCCAACTCTGTCTGGTGCTATTCTAAATGCTTTATATGGATTAACTCATTTAATCTTTCCAATAACTCTATGAGGTAGGTACTATGACTTCAATACCCTTATTTTACAAAGGAGAAAACTGAGGCCCAGAGTAAGATAAGGGGGAGAGCTGGGATATATGAATCCAGACAGTCTGGCTTCAAAATCCATGCTCTTTACCAACACCTTAACCTGTTTTGTATAACATATTCCATCTTTAAAAATTAAAGGAATTCATTCTGCTATCTTTCTTATTGTTCCTCTCTCCCAACTTCTCTCCTGTGTCATGATTTGGTTCTCTTTCCAAGGAGCACATAGGTTAAACTATTTCTATAGCCTACCGAAGAGTGACCCCTTGTGTTCAAATTGCAAAGCTAATCATGTGTGGCTATTTGTTGAAGTATTGCTTCTCTGTGGTGAATTACTTAAGAAATTCAGTTTGATCATGGATGTGGGGAGATGAAATTATATAATAAACCATGTTTTTTGAAGGTTATAGTAAAAGTCAACAACGGCATCAGAGACTTCTCCACCTCAGTAACCCCCAAGCAGAAGCTCTGTGATGGTAGATGGCATAGAATTACAGGTAAGAAAAGCTGAGGGACCCAGGCTTCCTTTACAAAGGTGGGCCTGTGCATCCACCTGTGGGATGATGGCATGGCAGAACTTGGATTACAAATTATGTGATAGAATAGGTGATGGATGGCAGTCTAGAAGTAGCCAGGGAAAAAGAGAAACAGATGTTATTGTACTAAAATTTGTATATGGAATCCATATATGGCTTGAAAATATGAATGCTGCCAAAATAGTGTTGGGTAGTTCTTTAAATCATGCATAATTTATGGAGCAAAAATTAGCACAAGAATATCCTAAATATTCTCTCTTTCAAAAGAAAATATTACAGTTAACTTGCTAGATATTAATATTTTTAATCACATAGAGAAAATGTGGGGTTTTATTCCAGAATAAAAGTCATTACTGTGATAAATTAGTCTCTTTCATGTGAAAATTAATCACTGCAGTGCCACTTCTGACCAGTCTTTACACTGTATTTCAGTTATTAGAGATTCAAATGTGGTTCAGTTGGATGTAGATTCTGAAGTGAACCATGTGGTTGGACCCCTGAATCCAAAATCAGTTGATCACAGGGAGCCTGTATTTGTTGGAGGTGTTCCAGGTAAGATTTGTTTAAAAGGAGCAAGTTTCCAAATCCAAAATACAGTGAGTTCTCATTATTATTATATTATTAAGAACTGAGTCACATGTCTTCTTAATTCACCCAAATAACTTGAAAAATTTATGATTGCTTTCCGTAAGAAAAAGTATGCTGAAAATTGTGACTCCTCACCCAAGATCACAACAAAGTAACATGTAAGAACAAACCCCAGAATTCTAACCAGTATCTATTACTCTCCTTCTTCCATATTTATTTACTTACTATTTTTCTCTCTTCCTTTTCCACATACCTTCTAAAATATGAGACTCTGGGGGACTAAAAGTTTGCTGATAATTGCTCTTTCCTAAATAGGAAAGAAGAGAGTCATGGTTCTGTCAGTCCAGGATTAGTCTGAATTGCAAAACAGCTGCAAGCCATAAATTCTGTTATTCCTATATAGTGGCATTGCCTAAGAAAGATTCCCAGCTGTAATTCTGTAAACCTCGTCAACATTGGCAAAGAATGGTGTACAGCCTGGGGTGGTGATAGGAGGACACTTTGGAAACTCCCACAGTTGTTTTAAACCTCTGAAACAGGGACCATGTCCTTATGTTGAATGAGTGTGTTTTCACACATTTCACTCACTTTGGAAAAACTGAATGCTACAGCTGGTGAGCGGTATATAAGGAGAATATAAGCAAGCTTTTTGCATCTGGAATTTGGAGGCAATTTGAAGGGAAAACATACAACAGTGTTTCCTTGCCTCCTAACCAAGTTATTTTAGACTGCCCCATGTAAAGGCAGATCATAAAAATTCTTTAAGGAGGAGAGTGAGAAAGCACAGATAAAATTAATCATCTGACTTTGGATATTCCTAAAATAGTTGCTAGTAAGCCCTCCTCTCCTTTGTAATATGAATTTTTCAAATACCAGTATTGACAATGATAGTAACTCAGTGACTACAGAAATAGCTGAGATCCTCAAAAAGCAACACTTCTTTTCCTTTACTTCCCCCACCCACTCTCATCCCCACCCCCAGTCCTTCCCTCCTGCTGCTTGGCTTCAGTTCTGAAAGGGATTCTGGCCAAGGCAGGGTGGAAGATGTATCAGATCAGTTTTTAGGTTTCTGTACATTACTTCTTAGAACTCATGACATAGTTTAAAACATTTCAAAAATTTCCAAGAACCTACAGGGTCAAATTCAGCATGGCATGTGAGCCCCTTGATGACTAGCCCCTTCTCGTCCCTGCCTCTTGGGTCTCCCCACACCTTCTGGGGCTTGCCATTTCCTAAATGTTCAGTGATGCTCTCTTTGCTCCAGACCTTTGCACGAGTGCACAAGTCCTTCATTTCTGGGAAATGTTGTTCTTCCTTTTTTGCCCAGTATCTTTTCATGGAACAGCTTCTCCCCCAACCCCACCAACTTAACTGCTTACTGACCCTCAGGACTCAGCCCAGACTTTTACTTATACCCACATGCACCACACACCCAACTCCCTCTACTTAGGATGTCCTGTGCACACCACTTATTGTTGTAGCACCTATCACAGAACACTGTTGAAGTAAATAGTACACTTCTTGTTGACAGAAAACATGACTGCATTCAACACACAACAAACATTATGGAGTGTCTATTAAGCACTGTGCTAGGCTCCAAGAGATGGGCAAAACAAGATCGGTTGTCGCTCATGGACGCCAGAGTATTTGTTCTTCACTTTGCACTCAAAGTGCTTACTACATCATTCAACCAAATATTTGTCTCTTTGATTTTTGTTGTCTTTATAGTCTGATCCCAGCATTACACACTACCATTAACCTTCACTACAAGATTGCTAAATTGCTAAACTTCACAGACTAGGAGGGCAAGATGTACTGAAAGCCAAATACAGCCTGTCTGAAACATACAATAAATAGAAAATTTTAACTAATGAGCCAGCACACAGAAACTAGCAGGTCAGGGAGGTCTAACCACCAGCCCACTGCACCACTGCAGCTTTGAATTCCATCTAGGAATCATGCCAGCAAGCCTAGAACAAAAGCAAAATAATTTAAGCTACATGTAATTAATTATTTCTTTTTTAGCTGTTCGAGATTAATTCCACTAAAATCACACAGGAAACCAGGCATTAAGTAGGATAACTAAAGGAAATCAGGCATAAATAAAATGCCTATATGCACTGGATTCTCTCAAAATCCCAAATAATCTCTTACACCAAGCAGAACTCTATTGACTCATTATTTCTATCAATAAAAAGTGAATGCATTAAAGGTCATACAACAATACACCAAAAAGTCAACTTTACTGTACAATAATTTAAAAATTAAAATTATTATTATTGCAGCCCACATATACATGGATCTCTGACCATTTACTCCGCTACTGAAAATCCTGGATCATTCTATATATAGTCAAACTTTCAGCCTGAGAAACATTCTCTCTTACAATCACGTACTGATTTTACCCATCCATCACTTAAGGTTCTGGGGCACTTTCCTGTCACTACTTACAGTTAATTGTGTGGTAAATTATGCAGACAGTAATTGCTATATGAATTATTATCTCCAGATAACTTACCCCCTAAGCGAAAGGGTGGTAGGCTTGGGCAGAACCAAACTTATCTTCTAAAGTTAGTTTCCAAAACGGGCAGCAGAATTAGATGTTTCTAGCTATAGTGGTTCCATTTTTAAGCACTCAGCTGTAACCGAAAGGTCAGCAGTTTGAATCCACCAGCCGCTCCAAGGGAGAAAAGACCTGGTGATCTGCTCCTGTAAAGATAACAGCCTAGGAAACCCTATGGGAAGGTTCTACTCTGTCATATAGATCACTATGAGTTGGAACGACTGGACAGCACCCAACACCACCACCACCACCTTAGAATCTTCCGTTTGCTTATTTTTTATTCCAATAATGCATACAACTGAGCAGACGTGAAGAATATATATAATCATCTTCATCTATAGATAGATAAAGGGAATTGATCTCTAAGGCCCCTTCCAAATAGAAAACTTTATCATTCTAAATATGAAATGCTATTTCCATGATTTATTTTTGGTATAAAGCTTCTGCATATCCTTAATCTACATTGCTTAGAAAGCTTATTACAGCCGCTGGATGATGTTTAATTTGCTGTCCTGTTTTATGTTCCTTCTTGAGTTACTGATTTCTAAGTGTTTTCCATCTTTTATTTGCTAATGCTCATAGAGCTGTTTGTACATAATAATAAGCTTCGGCTAAATGGGTTTAATTTCTTGATATTTCTAAGCCCTCTAAATTGCTTTAAATTGTATTGCTTTTATCATCCCAACACATTTAATTGTGCCTATACAATTAATAAGCATAAGGCTTTTTCTAGATTTCTAATTAAGGAGAGAAAGTTCCCCTGGCATACCACAGAGCACCTGTGTCCACACAAAGATGAGCTAGTTATCATTATTCTATTTACCGTTCTTAAACCCTTAGCTCAGAAAAATTAAAATTATTTGAATTCATTATTTTCTCATTATATCTTATGAGCTTGGCAAAAATGTGGAGGCTTAAGGGTGAAAAATGACATAAACAGAAACATTACCCAAGTCCAAAAATAGTGTGGAAACTAAGATTTCATTTCCCCTTCTCAGCAAACACAGAAAATAAGTGAAGCCCAGGTGAAATTAACCCTAAAAGAATAGGTTATTGTTGTTGTTAGCTGCCATGGAGTTGACCTCTGACTCATGGCAACCCCATGCACAACGAAACAAAACACTGCTTAGTTCTGCACCATCCCCATGATCAGCTGTGCATCAGACCATGGTAATCCATAAGGACTTCATTGGCTGATCTTCAAAAGTAGATCACCAGCCCCTTCTCCCTAGTTTTTCTTAGTCTGGAAGCTCCACTGAAACTTGTTCAGCACCATAGCAACCTGCAAACTTCCACTGACAGACAGGTGGTAGCTGTGCAGGAAGAGCATTGATGGGGAATCAAACCCAGGTCTCCCACATGGAAGGCAAAAATTCTACCACTGAACCACTACTGCCCCAAAAGCATAGGTAGACTATGAAATTTCATCATGAAGTAATATTTGGGTTTACAGTGCCTGAAATGCAATTTTTGTTGTCATTTCTTTCTCTTTTCAGAGTCTCTACTGACACCACGCTTGGCCCCGAGCAAGCCCTTCACAGGCTGCATTCGTCACTTTGTGATTGATGGGCGCCCAGTGAGCTTCAGTAAAGCAGCCCTGGTCAGTGGCGCCGTGAGCATCAACTCTTGTCCCACAGCCTGATACCCCAGAGCAGAGCTGCCCAAGTATACAGTTCTTTAGAGCACTGAAAGAAACGCAAAACCAGCCAGGAGAAACCGCAACTCTTCCTCCTGGTGGAAGCTTTCAACTAGTTGACCGTGACTTAAATGAATCATCAGGGACGGGATGTTTATTATTTCTCATTTCAATTCCTACCTTGGGTCCAAAATGTCTGCAATGGACACCAACCAAAGGAGTGTTAAACATACTTGTATTGAGAGTACACTTACTTCCGCTGGTGGAATATACTGTTCCTGTTTCTAATAAAATAGAAGGGATTCTAAATAAACACTGGCACACATTTGTAAAGTGTGGCTAGATTCTCAGTTTCATTTTTCTTTCAGGGAAGATAAGTCCTGGTTTCAGTCTATATCAAAATATCTTTGCCCTAAACTACTTTTATCTTGAAAAGATTTATTAATTTACATAATAACTAAAATTAGATGATAGATTTCCTTTTCGCACTTTCTCGCTTTCTCTCCCTCTTTGATCTGTAACAGGAATATTTTAGATTTACAGCAGATTAAATAAAGTAAATTTCTAACTAATTATTAGAAAAATGATAGTATAATTTAACTTTTCCTAGATAAGAAGAAAAAAGGAATTAAGCTACTTTTTTTTCCTTCCTTGTTTATTTTCTTAAAACAATAAAGTTTCACATAGGGTAGGGGGAGGCCCCTGTAGGATATTCTTATTACTATGTGTTCTACAGAAATCATCGAGGGCATTATACCAGAGAGTAGGATAAAAATCTTAAAATTCAATTTCAATTTCGAAGCATAGAAGTTTTCTTATTAAAAGTTTTTTTCTCCACATACCTGCAACAAAACTAGTCTTATTTCTAAAATTTTGTAATCTTTTTTTCTAGATATCTATGTTAATAAAGTCTAAAAAAAAGAATAATAGGCTTGAATAGTTGGTCAAATATTAAAATGCAGAAATTGAAATAATTATACATGAAAAGATAATCAACATTGAAGACAGAATGAGAGAAAACAGGTGCTGATAATCAGCAGGCTTGGGGATAAAATAAATAATTTGGTGGGGGGGTGGAGTGGGAAATGTATTAAATATTTTAAGGAATTACCAAATAGAATAAATGAATTATTTACCTTAAAAGGATTAAAAAATTATCAAAAATATGCAAACCGACATATTCTCTGGCTACTCTCCTATCTCAGGTACATAATAATAATGTTGAAGATGTCAGTGAAAATAGTTCATATCTGTTCATAGTTTCAGCCACCCTGATAAGATAAAATTGATATTCCATTTGATAATCTTACGAGGTAGGATTTATACGTGAGATTAGACTGAGGAGCCAGGATTCAAAATGAGGCTGCCTGTCTCCAGGGGGCAGCATGGTTGTCCCCAAGCTTTCCTACCTCCAGAGGACTGTCTGCCTTCAGGCAAACTCTTTTTCCCTGGTCTCTAAAGGTGGAGTCACAAACTCAAATGCCTGCAGAAAGGTACCATAAAGGGAGTGAAGCTGGCCAGGTTTGACAGAAAATTAAGAGGGCAATTGTCATGGCCCACCTAAAAGAGCAGAAGTTATTTAGCTCCATCAGTTGTCGCCATGAAATAACAAAAGCCGTGAAAGGCCAGAATTTTGAAAAGAATTTGGAAATGGGAAATTGCCTGACTTTTCAATTGGTAACTAATTAAAACGGTAGCTTCCACACAAGGAAATTTTCATGTAGCCAAACAAAACCTCCTGAGAGCCAAATGTGACTTCTGGGCTAAGGACTCTGAATCCAAGAGTCTGTGTCTAAACTGGTACTGACTGAACAAAATGAAAACACACTGAATACTCACAATACTCCCTCTACCAGACACAAGCAGGTGAAAGTCACTCTGAGGCAGCCTGCCGTTTTCTTTTCCAAAAGATTTTCCTGAGGTGTCCTAGAGGACCACTCTAGCCCTTCATCCTGGTTGGTGGCACAAAGTAAACTAGACCAGCATGTTGCAAACCCTGTCTGGACCTCTGGCAGCCCCAAAAGGCATGTAACAGACCACACATATGCTGCCAAGGGAAGTTCAAACTTTCAGATGCGTTCCAGACTAAAATCATAAAATTTCTTCTAATTTTCCCATAATTTACAAGGCTACTTCTTTGCAGAGTTAGTACTTCACATTATTATCCACAGCATATACGTCCCCAGCAAATGAGAATCTATGACCCGTATACCTCTTAACAACCACACGATGACCTTCTGAAAGTTTGAATTTATCATTTATAAGGGCCTGATTCAGTTCTTAGCTGGGATTCCATCCTCCCAGGTTCCATATAGAAAAAAGAGGTGTGCTTATTTTCCTTTTACTTAAACACAGCATATCTGGACTTCATGTAGAAAAATATGGGTTAGATATTCATAGTAATTTTGACCAATCGTGGTTCATAGTCCCAGACAGTCCTGAACCCCTTCAAAATGAAGAAGCCCTCCTATAGCCCCGGTTGAAGAAGCCTGTGCCCTATTTCTTCCCCTCATGGCTACATATGATTGGACACGGAGGGCATCATCTCATAAATTCCTCATTAAGGTATCCTAGAAAAAGTATCTAAAAAGATGAATTTGAACAATTGGATATTTTCTCTTGAAAATTTGAATTGGGAAACAAGCGGAGTATCAGGCATTTAGCAATAGAAGCCAGAGCCAAAAGGATCCTATAGTATCCGGAAGTATAGTTTTGTCTACCACACACATTAAAGAGCCCTGGTGGTGCAGTGGTTAACGCGCTCGGCTGCTAATGAAAAGGTCAGCAGTTCGAACTCACTAGCCACTCCACAGGAGAAAGATGTGCCAGTCGGCTTCTATAAAGATTACAGCCTTGGAAACCTATGGGGCAGTTCTACTTTGTCCTATAGGGTTGCTATGAGTCAGAAGCAACTCAGCGGCACACAACAACAACCATACACATTAAGGACCCCTGGTGGTGCAATGTTTAAGTGCTCAGCTGCTAACTGAAATGTTGGCAGTTCAAACCTATCCAGCAGCTCTGTGGGAGAAAGACCCAGCGATCTGTTTCCGTAAAGATTACAGCCAAGAAAATCCTCTGTCTCATTGGGTCACTGTGAGTCAGAATAGACTCAATGGCACCCAACAACAACAAGAGACATACATTTAAAGAAAGACAGAAAACCTTGGCAAGAATACCAAAACCTTGGCATGTTCCATTCTGTAGACTGAGAATGATACATTCACCTGATTTTTGTCCCATTAAGAACTATCTCAGGTTTTAGCCCAAAGAGTTTACTGGGAGTTATCTCAGAGACACTGCGATGTATTTGTTCTCTTGACCTCATTTTCTTATACATAACATGGTAGTATAAGGTGTCAAGTACTGTCTTTCCTATTTCCTTAAACAGGCGACTACAGCCTATAGCTGGGAACATAAAACAATAAATACAACACATTTTAAATTCACCAAACTTTAAGGCATGGAGCCAATCACTTCCCCTTAGTACTGGCTGAGGAGGCCATTTCAGCACAACCAGTACTGTAACACCACAATGCTCCCAATAAAATGCACACACACACACACACACACACACACATATACACACAGAGTCTATATAAAGTGACTAGGACAACAACAAAAGGAAGCGCTGTCCAGAATGTAAGCTCCACAAATTTGTGTCTATGTTGTTCACAGATGTATTCCAAGATCCTGGAACAGAGCCTGCCATGTAGATATATGCTCAAAAAATATTTGTTGAACAAATTTGGGGCAAGTAGTTTCCATAAAAATTATTCCCTGCCCTCACCTCATTAAGGCAGCTCCGCTATTTTTTTTCCCTAAAACTGGGGAAAATGGGTCCCAATGCAATCATCTGTCAAATTTCTAGGAGTCTGAGGAAAGCAAAAACTGGCATTTACTTCTCCATTTCAGTTTCCCTGAGTCCCAGGGATCTCTGACTTGCCTGAGGGGGTAGGGAGAACATTGGGAAAGATAGCACAGCCCATCAGAGAGACAAGAAGCACTCCTGCAAGTCTCTGGTAACCTTCAAGTCCTGAAAATCAGGAAAGAAGGTGGGCTATCATGGATAAAGCCACTCAGTTTATAAACTTCACAACGCTAGAGAATGTCATTGACAGAGGCTACTGCTAGGAGACAGGACAGGGCAGGCAGAGGAGAGGTGAGATTGCGGGATGGAAGCCTGATATCATCTGCCAAAGCATGGGCCAGAGAGGCACATACATAAGATGAATGCAGTGTGACACTACCAGTCAGAAGATGCAGTGAATCCCTCAAGGAACTCCCCAAAAGCTTAGTGATGTTGGCTGCTCAGGATTGAGTCTCTCAGCAGTCCAGCCAGACCATAGAGAGTTTACAAACAGTGAGCTAAGTCAGCATCCTCAACAGAAAATGTGGTTTTCAAATGATCATGTCTAAAGAGTGCTGATTAATGAACTGATGTCAACCTGGAGGAAGGTTAAGAAAGCATGATGCCACAGGATTACCCTGAGACTTGTTTATAATATCCCCTTAGTGACACTTCTGCAGTTTGTAAAGTTCTTACTTTACCTTCATTTTTTGAAAGTTAAAGATATTGCTCCATTGCCTTCTTGACTGCCTGGTTTCTGATGAAAATTGTTCTAACTTTATTTTTATTCCTCTGAATGAATGTGGCTTTTGTTTTGCTTTGGTTTTGTTTTGTCAGCTTTTAAGATTTTCTCTTTATCTCTGGTTTTCAGACAATTTAATTATGACATGACTTTGTATTGTTTTCTTCATATTTCTTCTCTTTGGGGTTGGTATAGCTTCTTGGATCCATGAGTTTACACTTTTCATTAAAGTTGGAAACTTCTTGGCTATTATTTCTTCAAATGTTCTTCTGTACTCCTCCCTCCTCCTTCTGGGAATACACTCACATGTATGTTAGATTGTGTGATATTGAAACACAGAATTTATGCTCTGTTCTTTCAGTCTTCTTGTGTTTAGTTTTGGATAGTTTTTATTACTGTCTTCAAGTTCATTAATCTTTTCTTCTCTAGTGTCTAATCTGCTCCTAATCCCAATTTTTTAAAAATTTCAGACAGTGGTTTTCATCTCTAGAAGTTCAATCTGGGTCTTGTTTATACCTTCCCTTTCTCTCCTCATTATGATCATGTGTCCATCTACTTCTTGAACGTATATACTTATAATAGCTTGTCTGTTAATACTACCATCTGTTATTCCTGGGTTTGTTTCTATTGACTAATGATTCTCCTGACTATATATTTTATTTTCCTTCTGCTTTGCATACCTTATAATTTTTTACTGGATGCTATAAATTCTGAATTTTACACTTTCAGTGCTCGATTTTATTGTAGTCCTTTAAATTTTGAGGAGCTTTCTTCCCTTGGATGTAGCTGAGTTACTTGGAATCAGTTTGATCTTTTCAAGTCTTGCTTTTAAGTTTGTGGGGAACATCCATAGAAGTCCTCAGTCTAAGGCTATTCCCATTACCCAGTCCCCAAGCCCACTGAGGAAATACCTTGCTGCGGACACTACTCAATGCCCTATGTGTTAAAAGATCTTTCCACTCTGACTGGTTGAAACACAAACTATTCCCAGCCTTGTATAATCTCTGAGAAATTTTTCATCACTTTTTTCAGTTGGTTCTTTTCAAAGCCTTGGGCAATTTCCTGTCTGGATGTATTTTTCTTACTTTAAGGAGTATAACATTTCTATTTTGCAGGCAATTAAGTTACTTAGGGATCACCTTGATTCTCTCAAGGCTTATTTTCTAAGCGTTGTTAAAGTTGATATAGATTAGCCTTTTGTCTAGTTTTAGTTTACATTTTCTACTAAGCTGTGGAATCTTTGTGATTTCTGTACATTTGTTATTTTTGTCATCATGCATCTACGTCCATGTAGTTATTAGCTAATAAATCTTTTACGTAAAAAGGCTCATATGTATATCATGAGAGAAAGACAAAGAACTGGAGGAATTTTATCTGATGCTAGAGTCAGTCTTTGGAAAAGACAATTTTATGAGAGGAGGTGGCAGCTAACAAGAGGAGAAAAAAGTAGACTGAGTTTCTGGAGACTACTGCAAGAAAAAAATGAGAATAGAGAGCTGACTCTGACCTCAAAAGTGATCCGAAGTCTAAGGCAATAAAAACACTCATCTGAGGTTTCTCAACACCCATTATTGACATTTTCAAGGTAACTGGCTGAAACTTGGGGTGCAGAAAACAAAATACTGTTTTTCCTAGAGCATTAGGGGTTAGAACCATAGTCTTGACCTCATTAAACAAAGTTAACCAATAACCTGAGCTCCCATATGCAAGCAGTTTAAATGCTTTGCAGATTAACCTGGTACTAAAAACTAGGGCTCCATTTCTCATCCAATATAATTATTCCTGGGCAGATCACTATTAAAGGATATCAAGCCAGAAACTATCTTGGGGTATTTCAGATGAAAGGATGCAGCTAAGTAGCAGCACAAATGTAAACATAGGAAACCTGTCTAAAATACATGAAGCACTTAGAAGAGGCCCCCATCTGATTGATAACCACGGTGGATTAAGTTTCACCTTGAATTATTGATATTAATGATCCACTATGGGCTAGATGGTCTCTAAGGCACTGTCTAATTATGAAATATTATTCTGTCTTATCTATCAAACATAACTGATGGCTTATCATTATACATGTTTTACTGACTACACTTCTGTGCTTTCCTACTAAAAGTAAATATTTCAACTGTTGTCATCATCCAAAGGTGCCACCACTTTTATTTGTTTACCAGATGATACTGGCCCATTACCCTTGACCTAGCCAACCCTCTACAAAGACTTAATGATGCTATTTAGGATGCATTTCCTTGCTGCTTTGTGCAGCTGGCTTTCGCATTGTTGCATAAACAGTAATTGGAACATCAGTTATTGTCAGGCAATGACTTCCAGGGCATCTTCGGAGTGGCCTAAATAAAAGAGCAAATGACATGTAGTTAGATACTTATTTCAGAGTGCTGAAGTTTGAGTGCATATTTGACTATTTAAAATAATTCTGAAATCTTTGAATGTCACAACGTAATTATAACACAGTGGCACTGGTGAAGCAGACGTTTTGGACTTAGGTTGCAAAGAGATTATAGCTGTTGCCATACATTTAATCACAGGGGATTAGTAAATACAAAGGTACTCTTCCATATGCTCATTTTGAAAGTATGCAATAATTGCTAAGTGGCAACAAAAAAAAAAAGAGAAAAATGCATAGTGATAATAGTGTGATAATTCACGCATAAACGCACCTTAACATCACTTCAGTGATTTAAAAAACTAGAATATTTGTGGAAAAATATAAAACTGAACATAATATTCCACATACTATTCAAAAGTTCCTTGGAAGTCCTATGAGGCAGTTCTACTCTGTCCGATTGGGTTGCTGAGTTGGAATCAACTTGATGGCAATAGTTTTTTTTTTTTATTCAAAAGTTGAAAGAACCTCAGGTTTGAAAGGACCCTTAAATGATATCTAGTCCAAAAACACATCTGATGCTTGATTTCCTTTCCAACATTTTCACCAAATAATTAAACATTCCTAAAACAAGAAGCTCACTACTTCCCAAAGCAGCCTATGCCATCCTTCAATAACTGATTGTTTGAAGAATCTATCTAATTAAGCTTAAATGTTTGTTCCAAAAATTTCCAAGCAATGAGAAGTCCAGCAATGCAGTGTTTAATTTTTTTCTAAAGTAAAAACTAGAAAAGTGGAATAAATCCTATTTATTATAGGCTCTTTTTCAATTTTGAAAACATGGTTTAAAATTCATGGAATCTTCACAGTCTTTCTCTCTCTCTTTCTGCCAAAGATCAAGTCAAAGCCAAAGTAATACTAAATCTGAAATCAGAGACTGAGTCTTTTCCATATTTACAGCCTTATGAAAGGTATCAAGGTATGCCTGTTTAACTAAACATTAGCTAATCTTTAAACTGTCACCAAACAATCTAGCTAAAAATTTATGTCTGTTGATGATACAGCCACTGTAGAAAAGAGTTGGTGGTTCCTCAAAATGTTAAATATAGAATTACTATATGACCTAGCATTTTACTCTTAGGTATATATAAAAAAAAAAAAAAATTTGAAAGCAGGGACTTAAACAGACACTTGTACACCAGTGTTCACAGAGTAATCAACAGATGAATGGATGAACAAAACATGGTATACTATACAATGAAATATTATTCAGTCATAAAGAGAAATGAAATTCTGATACATGCTACAACATGGATGAACCTTAAAAATATTATGCTAATTTAAATACGTCAGACCCAAAAGGACAAATACTGTATGATTCTACCTATATGAAATACCTAGAATAGGCAAATCCATAGGGACAGAAAGTAGATGAGAGGCTACCAGGGACTGGGGGGAGGTGAGGATGGGGAGTTACTGCTCAACGAGTACAGAGCTTCTTTTTGGGATGATGAAAAAGTTTTGTGAATGTAATTAATATTACTGAATAGTACACTTATGATTAAAATGGTCAATAGTATGTTATATATATTTTACCATAATAAATTTATTTTAAATTTATAAAGAACAGAGAATTGGTCTATCATCAAGACTTACAGAGGTACAAAATACAGACTCTGCTAAGAAAACCTGGTCTCTGTTAATACTAATTTAATAATAGCAATGTTTTGAATTCTTGACTTTTTTTCTTGCCAATATTGAACATCAGCTAAAGCTTGTACTGATGATAGCCATGACACATTTTCTCAATTGTAGCATAAAGAGGGCTTTGCCTGGTTGGTGAAGTCTCTTTCCCATTACAGGCAGCACTAGCGCTCAGCCCGGGTTCCAGCCCAATTGGAGAATCTCCTCCTTCCACTGGAAACCTCCTTGTCTGGGTCCCAAACCGAAAAGGCATAATTCACTGAAGACCTAGATAAGAAAATTAAAAAGGTGGGGGACGTTGTCTTCAAATAGTTCTTTATAATTTTTAATGTTACTATCTTTGTTATAGGCATACAGAAACTTTCTGAAAATGACAATTTAAAATAGCTATACAAGTATAAACTTACTATATTACACAACTGTTCCTTACATACAATTTTAAGACTTACAAAAAATTTAAGATAATGAAGTACAGTTGGAGTTTCACATCTGTTCACCATGAAATCTTCAACTAATCCTTCCATTCCCAGTGCTCATTCAATTCCCCTCACCAGCTCTCTATGACATTTACAGGTCAGTAGTTAAGAGAGTGGCCATGGGAGAGTTGGACTGACCTGAGATCAAATCCTGATTCTGGCCCTTCCTATGTGATCTCAGGCAAGGTACTTCAGGTTTCTCAACAGTAAATTTGGAATAATAGTATCTACTTCTAGGTTAATGGTGAGGATCAAATAAACTCATACATGTATAATGTAGTGCCTAACACACAGTAAGTGTTCAATAAATGTTAACTATAATTACTCAGCAGATGCTACTGAACATTAGTAAATGTATATGTATTTATGTATATGTGTATAAGTGTGTTTATATGTGTATATATATGTGTGTGTATACATACATATATACATATGAACGAAGCCCTGGTGGCACAGTAGGTTAAAGAGCTTGGCTGCTAACCAAAAGGTCTGCAGTTTGAACCTACCAGCCACCCAGCCACTCCTCGGGAGGAGGATTTGGCAGTCTGCTTCCATAAAGATTAAAGACTTGGAAACCCTGTGGGACAGTTCTACTCTGTCCTACAGGGTCACGATGAGTCAGAATCAACTCGACGGCAATGGGTTACATATATGTGTGCGCGTGTGTGTGTGTGTATGTATGTGTATATACACATTTGTATGTGTGTGTGAATATATATTTATCTCCTTGGACCACCCCCCTTTCCCACTGCTCCCACCTTTCCCTTACTAGAGTCAAGTAATCCATTAAGTCTGAATTTACATTTCACTTTTCTAAGAAGCCTTCCATAACCCCATTATCTAAGTTTTCAGAGCACTTTTTTTATCTGTGTTGTAACAGTTATCACTTTAATCCAGGGTTTTTCAACCTCAGCACTACCGGCATTTGGGACCGCTAATTCTTTCTTGGGGAGGGGGTAGGATGTCCTGTGCATTTGGTAGCATATTTAGCAGCATTCATGGCCTCTACCCACTAGATGACAGTAGCACATACATCCTAAGTTACAACTGTCAAAAATGTCTTCAGACATTGCCAAATGTCCCCCGAGGGGCAAAACTGCCCCCTGTTGAGACCTACTGCTCCAATTATTTGTAAAATTTTTGTTTAATATTTGTTTCTCCCTCCCTGTTCCATGTCTGTCTTTGTCACCAGTGAATCTTGAATACCTAGAAGAGTGTCTGGCACAGAGTGGGTGCTTAACAACCATATCTTCAATAAATTTGCATGTTTTCAACTATTAGCCCACAAAGGACAGGAAAAATGTCTTATACCTGTTTCTTATGCATAGTACAGTATAGTCTATGCCTAATGAGTAAGTATTTATTGGTAGTCGTTATGCTTAATGATAATTTACTAAAACCATAGTAAAAATCATGGTTTAGTATAACTATCTATCTATGAGGGCAATAAGTTTCAACTACGTTCATCAAGGATACTTAGACTTACCAAAATAGGCCGAGTCTGATTCCTGTAGAGGTGGATAAATCAACTGTTTCTACTGACCGTCCATAGAAGGCTGGAATTGCCAAAGGAATGATGATCATATGTTCCAGTGACACCCAGAAATTATGACATCAGAAGATTCTTTCACATAGTTTTCTACCTGTTAAAGAATCAAATGTCTCAACTCAGCTCCAGCAATAAGCTGAAACTTAGCTAAAAACTGGGAATCGACTCAACAGCAACTGGTTTTCTGTTTTGTTTTTTTTAAGGTTTGCTTGAGGGTTTTCTTCTTGCTGCCACTGGCTTCTTTATTGTCCCATGATATTAAGGAAATATTGTTATAACCTATAAATTGTTTTTATTTACCATAGACCTAAAGAGCTCTGGTGACACAATGGTTAAGTCCTTGGCTGCTAACCTAAAGGCTGGGAGTTCAAACCCAGCCAGTGGCTCTGAGGAAGAAAAACCTGGCGATCTTCTCCCATAAAGATTACAGCCTAGAAAACCCTATGGGGAAGTTCTGCTCTGTCACATGGGGTCACTGAGTCAAAAACTCAACTTGACAGCCCTAACAACACTATCAACCTACAGGCTAATCAATCTGAACAAAATCACACTTGAGATTCTTCTCACTTTACATCCCATTTCCTCATTCCAGACTTTCCCTCAACTAATCCTCCAATTGATACAATCTACCTTCTTCCCCACCCCATTCCTGTGCCCTCAAAACTGCAGCTTTACAAATGTCTCTATAGCTCTTTTTACCTGGTATTCTTTATACCATCTCTACTGCTGGACTACCTCTTCTTTCCTGTTTACTTAAAAAAACCTGTTGCCATCAAGTCTATTCCAATTCATAGCAACACTATAGGACGGAGTAGAACTGCCCCATAGGGTTTCCAGTGGCTGGTGGATTTGCACTGCCAACATTTTGTTTAGCAGCTGAGCTCTTAACCACTGCACCACCAGGGTTCCATTTCCTCAAAAGACCCTTGAAACTCCCAGATAGCAGAAATAATGACAATTAAAAAAGGAAGAATTATATCTTGTACTGTCCTCTCTAATCTGTTCACTAGATCCTGAGCTTCTCTTCTGCTCATCTTTTCATTTCCTTGTCTGCCCTCCCCTTCTCAGCTGGTTGTTGGCTTCTATATTAACAGCTTACCTAACTGAATGCCTGTCCCACTCAATAATACTTAAGTTTTAAGCCAGAACATTATTCTTCAGTTAACCAATTTTTACATTTTTACAGCTGATTGAACTATTAAATGCTAGTATTTTTTAGTCTTAATGAAAATATTACCCACATTTTATGCTGTTACCACTCTTCTGTTTTCACATGATTTACATTATAGAAAATTGACATTTTACATAAGAATCACATTGATGTTACACAAAGTCTTACCTCTACCATCTTCTTCCTTATTAGGGTGCTATCTGTGAATAAGTTGATCACAATTTTAGCTTAAAGAAACCATTTAATGGACTGTGTCATAGTCAGACAAACTGAAATAATTGTAGGCCATTGTTAGCTAATGTACCATTACACATCTTATCGTGTAATTGTTTAAATCAGAGCACTGAGACATTGATTTTACTTTATAGTTACTGATAAATATTAAAAACTACAAAGTAAAATATTGCAGGGGGTATTTTCTTAAATTTCTGTAATTTATAACTATTTTAAATTAGTCCATTTGGCACAAATAGTGCCAAGTTTCTTTTCTTTTCTTTTTTTAGTATGTGTGATACAATGAAGAAAAAAATAAAACAGTATCCTTAATGATGAAATTCTCCCCTCGTGGCACAGTGGTTAAGAATTTGGCTGCTAACCAAAAAGTCGGCAGTTTGAATCCACCAGCTACTCCTTGGAAACTCTATGGGGCAGCTCTACTCTGTCCTATAGGGTCACTATGAGTCGAAATTGACTCAATGGCAATGGGTTTGGATTTTTTTTTTGGTACAGTAATACAGCAGAAGGTGAAATGAACTTGACTCACCAGCAGATCTTTGCAGAGCAATAGCTAAATAGGCAAAATATAAATGGTAAATAAAAAGACAGTAAAACCTCTAAATACTCTTAATTCTAATAAGCCCAAGAATAATGATTTTTCAATTATCAGGTTTTGATTAATGAGATGCAAAAAAAGAAGTGATGTTTGAACTAGTCATATTCTAAGAAAGCAGATCATTATTAGAATTCATTCCTTCAACAATTATTTGCTAAAAATCCACCATGAACCAGGCATGTATTAAGTACTGAAAATATATTCTATGCTATGAAATCTACTTTGTCTGAAATGTATATAGCTTTTTCAATGATTAGTGTTAGTGTGATGAATCTTTTCTAATCCTTTTACTTTTAACCTATTTGATATTAATACTCAAAGTGAGTTTCTTGTAAAGAGTATCTAGTTGGGTCATGCCTTTTTATCCAGTCTAATGACCTCTGCTTTTCAATTAATGTTTACACCATTTATATTTAATGTGATACAGATGGATTTAAATCTACCATCTTGCTATTTGTATTCTATTTTTGCCACCAGTTTTTGTTTCCTCTTTCCTCTTATTCTGTTTTTCTGGATCAACTGGATATGTTTTATGAATCTGTTTAGTCCCATTTACTGGCTTATTGCTATACATTCTTGTTTTGGTTTGCTTTTGGTTAGTTTAGGATTTATAGTACATGCCTTTAACTTTTTCACAGTCTATTTTCAAATAACATTATACCACTTCACACGTTAGAAGAATTATACTAGAGTATATTCCATTTTCCTTCTCCCAACTTTTGATTTTGTTGCCATACATTTTACTTCTACATACATTATAAGCCTCACAATATGCTATTATTAGTTGCGCTTTATGCAGTGAGTAATCTTTTTAAGAGTTTTAAAAAAACAAGAAGTCTTTTATATTTACCCACATATTTATCATTTTCAGTGCTCTGTGTTCCCTTGCCACCACTCGTCTGTCAGCTTGTCATACTGTGGTGGCTTGAGTATTGCTCTGATGCTGGAAGCTATGCCACCAGCATTTCCAATAATAGCAGGGTCACCACGATGGACAGGTTTTAGTGGAACTTCCAGGCTAAGACAGACTGGGAAGAAAGACATGGTGATCTACTTTCGAAAAAACTGGTCACTGAAAATCTTATGGATAGCAGCAGAACACTGTCTAATATAGTGCTGGAAAATGAGTCATTCAGATTGTAAGGCACTCAAAATACGACTAGGGAACTGCTGCCTCCTCAAAGTAGAGTCAACCATAATGACATAGATGGAGTAAAGCTTTCAGGACCTTCATTTGCTGATATGGTACAACTCAAAATGAGAACAGCTGAAAAAATTCATTTATAATTAGAATGTGTAATGTACAAAGTATAAAACAAGGAAAAGTGGAAGTTGTCAAAAATGAAACGGAACACTTGAAGATTGATATTCTAGGTATTAATAGCTGAAATGGATTGGTATTGGCCAATTTTATCAGACAAGCAAATGGTCTACTATGCTGGGAATGACAAATTAAAGAGGAACAGTATCGCATTCATTGCCAAAAGAACATTTCAAGATCTATCCTGAAAAACAATGCTGTCAGAGATAGCATAATGTACATACACTTGCAAGGAAGACGAGTTAATACGTCTATTTTCAAACTTATGCAACAACCACTAATGCCAAAGATGAAGAAATTGAAGATTTTTACCAACTTCTGCAGTCTGAAATTGATCAAACATGCAATTAAGATGCACTGGTAATTACTGGTGATTGGAACACAAAAGTTGGAAACAAAGAAGAAGGATCAATAGGTAGAAAATAAGGTTATAGAAATGACACCAGAGATCACATGATAGAATTTTCCAAGACCAATGATTTAGTCATTGGAAATACCTTTTCTGCAACAACATAAACAGCAACTATACACGTGCACCTCACAGGATGGAATACACAGGAATTAAATCGACTATATCTGTGGAAAGAGATGATAGAAAAGCTCGATATCGTAGTCAGAACAAGGCCAGGGGCCAACTGGAGAACAGACCAGCAATTGCTCATATGCCAGTTCAAGGTGAAGCTGATGAAAATTAGAACAAGTCCAAAGTATGACCTTGAGTATACCCCACCTGAATTTAGAGACCATCTCAAGAATAGATTTGACACACTGAATACCAAGGACCAAACACCAGACGAGTTGTGGAATGGCATCAAGGATATCACACATGAAGAAAGCAAGAGGTCATTAAAAAGACAGGAAAGAAAGAAAAGACCAAAATGGATGTCAGAAGAGACTCTGAAACTTGCTCTTGAATGTTGAGTAGCTAAAGGGAAAGAAAGAAATGATGAAGTAAAAGAGATGAACAGTAGATTTCAAAGGGCGGCTCAGAAAGACAAAGTTAAGTATTATAATGACATGTGCAATGACCTGGAGATAGAAAACCATAATGGAAGAACATTCTCAGCATTTCTCAAGCTGAAAGAACTGAAGAAAAAATTCAAGCCTTAAGTTGCAATATTGAAGGATTCTATGGGGAAAATATTAAATGACACAGGAAGCATTAAAAGAAGATGGAAGGAATACACAATCACTGTACCAAAAAGAATTGGTCAACTTTCAATCATTCCACGAGGTAGCATATGACCAGGAATTGACAGTATTGAAGGAAGAAGTCCAAGCTGCACTGAAGGCAATGGCGAAATACAAGGCTCCAGGAATTGACAGAATACCAATTGAGATGTTTCAACAAATGGATGCAGCACTGGAAGTGCCCACTTGTCTATGCCAAGAAATTTGGAAGACAGCTACCTGGACAACTGACTGGAAGAGATTCATGTTGTTGTTAGGTGCCATCAAGTCAGTTCTGACTCATAGTGACCCCATGCATAACAGAATGAAACACTGCCCAGTCCTGCGCCATCCTCACAATTGTTGCTATGCTTGAGCACATTGTTGCAGCCACTATGTCAATCCATCTTGTTGAGGGTCTTCCTCTTTTTCACTGACCCTCTACTTTACCAAGCATGATGTCCTTCTCTAGGGACTGGTCCCTCCTGATAACATGTCCAAAGTATGTGAGACGAAGTCTCGCCATCCTCGCTTCCAAGGAGCATTCTCACTGTACTTCTTTCAAGACAGATTTGTTCGTTCTTTTAGCAGTCCATGGTATATTCAATATTCTTCATCAACACAATTCAAATGTGTCAATTCTTCTCCCATCTTCCTTATTCATCATCCCGCTTTCACATATATATATGAGGCGACTGAAAACACCATGGCTTGGGTCAGGCAATCTGAGTCCTTAAAGCAACATCTTTGCTTTTCAACACTTTAAAGAGGTCTTTTGAAGAAGATTTGCCCAATGAATGCATCTTTTAATTTCTTGACTGCTGCTTCCATGGGTGTTGATTGTGGATCCAAGTAAAATGAAATCCTCGACAAACTCAATCTTTTCTCTGTTTATCATGATGCTGCTTATTTGGTCCAGTTGTAAGGATTTTTGTTTTATGTTTTCTTTATGAAGGCTGTGGCCTTTGATCTTCATCAGTAAGTGCTTCAACTGCTCTTCACTTTCAGCAAAAAAGGTTGTGTCATCTGCATAACGCAGGTTGTTAATGAGTCTTTCTCCAATCCTGATGCCCTATTCTTCATATAGTCCACCTTCTCGGATTATTTGCTTGGCATATAGATTAAATAAGTATGGTGAAAGGATACAACCCTGATGCATACCTTTCCTGACTTTAAACCATGCAGTATCCCTTTGTTCCATTCGAACGACTGCCTCTTGATCCATGTACAAGCTCCTCATGAGCACAATTAAGTATTCTGGAATTCCCATTCTTTGTAATGTTATCCATAATTTGTCATCATCCACACAGTTGAATGAGTCTGCATAGTCAATAAAACACAGAACTTCTTTATGGTATTCTTTGCTTTCAGCCAGGACCCATCTAACATCAGCAATGATATCCCTGCCTATTCCCAAGAAAGGTGATCCAACCAAATGTGGAAATTATCCAACATATCATTAATATCACATGCAAGTACAATTTTGCTGAACATCATTCAAAAGCAGTTGCAGCTGTGCATCAGCAGGGACCTGCCAGAAATTCAAGCCAGATTCAGTAGAGGATGGGGAACCAGGGATATCATTATTGATGTCAGATGGATCCTGGCTGAAAGCAGAGAATACCAGAAGAACAGGGCATCAGGATTGGAGGAAGACTCATTAACAACCTGAGTTATGCAGATGACACAACCTTGTTTGCTGAAAGTGAAAAGCAGTTGAAGCACTTACTGATGAAGATCAAAGACCACAGCCTTCAGTATGAATTATACCTCAACACAAAGAAAGCAAAAATCCTTGCAACTGGACCAAATAAGCAGCATCATGATAAACGGAGAAAAGACTGAAGTTGCCCTGGTTGGGGAGTAAGGTGTTCTAATCAATCAAATATTACAGTTCATATTACTATGCATTAACAGTACGTATAATTTAGTTTTTTCAGATGGAGGCCTCTGAAGGTTTTTAGTTCCTTAGAATTTTTGTGGGAAATATTAAGTGCTTGGAGTTCTTAACTGAAATCTGGTCTAAACTGGTCAACGAAAGTGTTTGACAATTTTAAGGAGTTGGTAACTTTCAGGAATGACTGATTTTTCAATCCTCTTTTCCCTTCTCCCATCTAAACACTGCATATATAAAATGCCTGATTTTAATCCCATCTCTTCTATCAGATTTCTATTTATTCCAGTCTACATCCTTGTCCACCGATTCCTATTGCACTTATAGTAAGCACCACAAAATACTGTAAATCACAATTTCTGAGTATTTCTTGTGTGTCATCAATTAGAGTGAAAGCTTCTTGGAGCTGGATTTAGATCTTTCTTTTTAGTCCTCCAAAGAGTCTATTAGTTATATTCTGGAGGCACACAGCGTTCAACAAACACTAGCTGGGTGTCTTAGCTTTGTCCATTTTTATCTAGCTATATAGTTTCGGTTGTGCCCTGACACGTCTATTTGTCTGGGGTTTCTTTGTACTCATCAACATTGTTCGTTTTCTATTAGTTCTATTAGAACAATGGGCTCGACTCCTTGGAAAGAGAGGTTGACGCAGCGTCCCGTGCAATCTGAATAAACGGAATTTCACCCACCGCCCAGGGTGCTGAGAAGACCATGTCTCTGATAGCTCATTGAGAGTTTTAAAGATACACATTTTAAAATCCCACTCCAAAGCCTTCAGAAACCCTGCCAATTACCCCGGCCTCGGGAGCTGTCGATGCTCAAAGGTGTTGACAAGGCACCGAGGATCTGCGGTTCAGAGACACAGTCGCTATGGTAACGACGAGCCGCATGTGCACTCGCACGGCCTGCTGGTGGAAGGTGTTAGCCTAAGCCTAGAGGAGCGCTTGGCGACGGCAGCGACTTGCGGCAGCGGCGTGACTTACGGCCGCCGCGTCCCCCAGGAGAACCGCGTTGGTGGGCGGGGGAATTGCGAAAGGCTTCGCGGGCGCCTGGGTACTCTTAGTGGATCCCTGTGCAGCATGACCCAGTCGGTGGTCGTACAGGGTAAGCTGCGCGGAGAAGGTGGGGACCTCGTCCGAGAGGCCTTGTTTCCCGCCTAATGTCCGTTGTGTCCTTCCTCTCTCCTGGTCACAGTTGGACAGTGCGGAAACCAGATTGGCTGCTGCTTCTGGGACCTGGCGCTGAGGGAGCACGCCGCGGTCAACCAGGTACCGGCTCCCGGGCCCGCCCCACACACTCCCACCGCCTGTCACCGAGGCTCCTTCAACAAATAAAGAAAAGCTCTATTTGAGCTTTTATCTAACCTATGTAAATTGTGTGGGATGTTCATTGTAAAGAAGATATTAGTGTTTAAACGTATATTTGCGTTAGGCACAGACTGAAAAGAACGCTGGGCCGGGGACCTTGGTTTTAATCCTTTTCCTAATTCTCAGGGCCCTCATCTTTACCAGGGTTCTTATGAAGATCAGTGAGGTAGTAGATGTGAAAGTACTTTATAAAATAGGGAACACGTGTGGTATTATATGCCTCAACTTAACTATCAGCTTTTAAAATGATGATCAAGAATTCAGAGAAGACTCATTTGATAAACCTGCTCTACAGTCCTGTGGGGAATTCTTTCTTTAACAGCTTCTGCTGTACTTAATCCATAGATCTCACGGCATTTATTCTCCTCTACCAGGAGATTGGAAGAATCAGGCTAAGCATCTTGTGACATATGCTTTTTCTTACCATAGGTGGTTCAGTGGTACATTTCTTTCCTTACATGCAGGAGACCAGGTTTGATACCAGACAATGCGTGGAGGCTTGCCTGTTGTTATGATGCTGAATAGGTTTCAGCAGAGCTTCCAGACTAATACAGACTAGGAAGAAAGGCCTGGCAATCTACATCCAAAAATCAGCCAGTGAAAACACTATGAATCACAGTAGTCTGATCTCGTTGTACATGGGGTTGCCATGAATTCTGCCAACTGGATGACAGCTAACGACAACAACAAAGCCATTTAAAAACAAAAACCCAACCCGTTGCTGTCATCAGTTCCAACTCATGGAAACCCCAGAGTAGAACTGTTCCATAGGGTTTTCTTGGCTGTACACTTTATGGAAGCGGATCACCAGGCTTTCTTGTGCGGGGCCTCTGGGTGGGTTCCAGCCACCACCCTTTAGGTTAGCAGTTGATTGCAAACTGCTTGCCCCACCCAGGCTCTCAACAAAGCCATTACAAGTGGCATGTTAAAATTACAAGTGTGATGTTACATATATAGTGGGATTATGAAAATTACTTTACTGAATGCTATAAATACATTTCTTTCTCTTTAGAAAGGAATTTATGATGAGGCAATAAGCAGCTTCTTTAGAAATGTGGATACCAGGTAAGAAGGGATTAAAGTCTATTCAGAGAGCATGATGAACCTTTACTGTCAGCAGACTGGGAGAGCAGTTTTCAAATACAAAGGACAAAAAAAACCAGCTGATAACTGTGAAGAAGTTTTCTGGCTTTTTGTTTGTTTTTCTCGTTACCGAAAGTATATTCTGCAAAACAGGACAACAGTTTTTCTATTGACGCCATGTTAAACAAAATCTTTAGCACGACTTCTTTTAACTTCTTTTTAACTTTGAAATAAAGGAAGGCTGAAATTTTTCGAAAGAAAAATGTATTATTTACTTTTCTCTGATATTATTTATGGCCCAGAATATTTGCTATATGAATAGAATGTGCTACAAAGGAGAAATACAATTGTCAGATTACATTTGTTTATTTAATAAAGAGTATATGTAAGTATCATATATCTTACATGAAACAGCCACTTAATCTGACATTCATGGTTTGCTCAGAACTTTTAATATTAAATCATTAAATCCATAGAGGGGGAAATAAAATTATAGTCGATTAGTTTTCATTTGAATTATCCTTTAAACTCAGAATTAAGTAAAGATAATGTTGATTTTTATCTTGTGTCCCTTCTAACCTTACCACAGTCAAAACAAAGGGGGAAAAAAAAAAGCATTGATTCTCTGAGAGAATATTAATATTCTGATGTGTTTTATTCACTGTGGTAATGTGTTCAAGCAATTACTGTAATAAGAAATTTTGACTACACAGTGTGATATGTCCCATCAGCCACAGCCTTTGAAGGAGAAGGTAAAGGCAGAGTGAAATGAAATGTCACTCCTTTTTAGGCAGTGTTGGTTAAATGAACTGGGGAGGAGGGGACTACCTGTAATGTGAGTATGCTAATATTGCCATGAAAGTCATGACAGGCTATTTTTTTTAACTTAGAAATAACACATGCTCAATAATAGCTGGGTGTTCTATTTAAACACTTGCTTTGCTAAAATCTGATTAGTGAAATGTTCTATGTATTTTCCAAGTACCTTATAAAACTAAATGATGGTGGGCTTTAACTGAAAAATACATATTAGGTTTTAATCTAGTCCAATAAAAATTTCAGTTTTAGTTTGTATTTGTTGGCTAACTGTTTCTTTGAGGCAGTTATTTCCTGGAGAAGGCCAGTTAGTCCCCAATTCTTTGGTGAATTCCAAAGTCTGGCCCTCAGGATTGCAAACTCAGAAATCTTATGTTTAGCACCATGAGAATGGGTCCATTGCTGTTCAGTACAGTCACATTAACCAAACTCTGAGAGAATGAGAGATCAAAATGCAGACAAATCAATTTACTAATGGACTGTAAAACTATCACTGAAAAAGACTAAATACATATTTTCCTTCATAGGTACATTCTCCTGTGAGAATAATCAGAATAATCAGAAGGTTGCTTGGTGACCATGAAATCACACCAAGGGAAATTAAATGTATTTCCTTAATGACAGATGTCATCTGTATTTACTTTATGGAGATACCTGTCATAGACTAGATTCCTTCTTGATTGTGGACCATAACATCTTGTTCCCTAAAAACTATTAAGAGACATGCTACTCAGATTTGCTTTTGTAATTCTTTTAGGTCCTTCCTTTGCTAACCAAATCCCTACCCCAACCCTTCCTTTCTGGATGGCCATTTTTCATTATTATGTAGTTGAGATTCAGCCTGCAGGCAGTTTTCTCTGAATAAAGTGATTTTACATACTGTACTCTCATCTACTATGTTTGGTCTTATTTCCCCAATATCAACTTTGGGAAGGCCAGGAGAAAGAGTGTGCCACTTGCTAGTCTTTCCATGTATTGATAACACATACTGCATCTGTTCCAGAGATTAGTAGGAGAATTATTTTTCAAATATGAGACCACACTTATGTATCTTTTTGAGGAAATTTTCACATATTTTTAATAGCATGAAGGAATTTACCTATAGCAGAGTCTGGCAAACCTTTTCTGTAAAGGGCTAGACAGTAAATATTTTAGGCTTTATGGCCCATAAGATCTGTGTTGCAGCTACTCGACTCTGCCATTGTAGTGTAAATGCAGTCAGATAATACATGAATGAACATACAGAGCAGTGTTCCAGTAAAACTTTATTTATGAAGAAAAGTAACCCGAGAACCATAGTTTGCCAGTCCCTTACCCGCAGCATCATCTATGCTCAATTCAGCTTCCTTTTACATATTCTAGCCTCTTGTGAACTATATTGACCTATGTTCGGTCATAGATTTAGGTACTTAGGTAACTTATTTCAACATGAAATCCTTGGATTAGCTTTAAGACTCAATGGTATATAACTGATTGATGTGTGTTTGGCTGCAAAAGAAAACTTGACTGATGGTGACTTAAGCAATAAAGACATCTAGTTACCTCACAAAGAAATTTGGAACTAGAATGTTCTAGGTTTAGACCCAGATACTATCGTTCCAACATCCTTGGCATATTGGCTTTTCATCCTTGTGTTTGTCACTTCATGACTACAAGAAATTGGCTTCAGGAGTCACATCCATGTTCGTGTTCAAGGCAGGAAAACGAGAGAAGGTTGGCATCAACTGCATCTGGTCTTTTTTACCAGAAAAGTTTCCCAGCATACCTCTTCTTTATGTCATTGGCCAGAACTGGATTACATGGTCAGCCCTAACTACAAAGGAAGCTGGGGGGAAATAAGTACCTCACTTTCAGCCTAATGGGAAGTAGGGAAGGGAGAAGGAGGTTGGGAATGACTGTCGTGTCTGCCTCACCTGGCCTATAAGCAGCCTATATAAATGGAAGTTAACTATATTACCTGATAAAACTGTTAACCATGGAAGATCTTATAACCTTTTCTCATTTTTTTATCTTTCAGAGTGATTGGTGATGGTGGCAGTATTTCCAAGGGAAAAATTCGTTCTTTAAAAGCACGAGTAAGATAAACATTCGGGTTCTTACATTGCATGTGTTTTTAAAATAACTATACTTCCATAGCTATCGTAAGAATAAAATTTTATTTTAACTTCTCCAATAAAAAACAAAAACTATTTATTAAGCCACATTTAGTATGAAGTTATGCTACAGACTTGAAATGGGCATTTGTGTCTACCCAGAACTATGGGAAAGTGCTTCAAGTAAAAACACGGTATATTTTACATATTTTTCTAAATGTTTTAGGGGAAATAGATGTCTAGATAAATGATAACTAAAGGAGCCTTCTTATTTAAGAACCTGAAATACCAATGCAGGTTAAATTTTCATTTAAATATAATGGAAAGTTTATTTGCAACAAGATAGTTACTCCCAATACAAAGCATGGATCCAGCCTTATTATGGTAAATAACCGGAGTTATGCAGATGACACAACCTTGCTTGCTGAAAGTGAAGAGGACTTTGAAGGACTTTCTGACGAAGATCAAAGACTACAGCCTTCAGTATGGATTACATCTCAACATAAAACAAAAATCCTTACAACTGGACTAATAGGTGACATGATAAACAGAGAAAAGATTGGAGTTGTCAAGGATTTCATTTTATTTGGATCCACAGTCAACACCCATGGAAGCAGCATTCAAGAAATCAAACAACGCATTGCATTGGGCAAATCTGCTGCAAAAGACCTCTAAGGTGTTAAAAAGCAAAGATGTCATTTTGAGGAATACGGTGCGCCTGACTCAGGCTATGGTGTTTTCAGTCGTTTCATATGCATGGGAAAGCGGGGCTGTGAATAAGGAAGACTGAAGAAGAATTGACGCCTTTGAATCACGGTGTTGGCGAAGAATATTGAATATACCATGGACCACCAGAAGAATGAACAAATCTGTCTTGGAAGAAGTACAGCCAGAATGCTCCTAAGAAGCAAGGATGGTGAGACATTGTCTCACATACTTTGGACATGTTGTCAGGAGGGACCAGTCCCTAGAGAAGGATAGATATGCTTCATCAAGTAGAGGACCAGTGAAAAAGAGGAAGCCCCCTCAAAGAGATGGATTGACACAGTGGCTGCAATAATGGGCTGAAGCATAACAATGATTGTGAGGATGGCGCAGGACCAGGCAGTGTTTCATTCTGTTGTACGTGGGGACGCTATGAGTTGGAACCAACTTGATGACACCTAATAACAGCAACCATGTACGTTCTAAGCAAAAATACTTCCAGAGTCAGTAGCCCATATTTACAGTGTTAAATCACTCTCCTTCCAACATTTCTGTGATTAATTCTTTACAACAAACTTCCTTTTCTAGTTGTTGATCAGTAATCTTTGACTATAACAAAAAAGAGAGGCAGTTTAAAAGCTGTGGAAGTAGTTGAGATAATAACAATCAGAACAAATGTAGTGGCTGAAAGAGTGGAGAGCAATAGTGTTGTGGCCATCTCTTTGTATCCATGATCTCTGATGTCATTGAAAACAAAGTTTGGCCCAGAGACTGTGTGGCTTATAGGATCTTAGAAGAATTCATTGACACTTGGTATACACTATACCATGGGAAAGAGCTAACATCCCAGTCCAAAAGAGAGAAAAAGAGACTGACATTTCTTAGACCACTCCCAATTTGAGCCCTTTCCCACTCTCACATGAGGGAACAGGGTGGAAGATAGAGGGAACATTGTTAAAAAAGACAAGATAAATCAGCTTAATCCTATAGCCTTTGACTTTCGTTCTAGAAGGTACCCTCCTACCATCTCTGTTGTGTGGCTGTTGTCACTTATACCTTCACAAGAAGTCTTGGTGCTTGAGTCTCTCTGTTCAGTATCTTAGATCAATAGGCAAATAATAAGAATTTTGCAAATCCAATACTATACATACGGAAAAACCAGAAGGCCAAAAATTATCACCAATTGAATCTGGAAGGAAATGGAACAGCTATGACTCAGAACTTGGATGTCTGAGTCCAGAATACTCCCCAATAGTTAAAGCCACGCTAATAAATTTCCAAAGGAAAAAAGGGCGTGATGTGAGGGAGGAAGGAATAGAAGTTATTTATAGTAAGTCCCCAGGTTATGAACGTCCGATGTACAACTCGTACTTGCCCTTTAATGTTATGTAAATTTGCCCTTTGAAACGGTTGCAGTAACCCCTACTCACAACAAATTCTTCATCACAATTACCTTCACTTGCTGCATGTGCAGCTTTTAAATCATTGAAAAGGCTTCGAGCCTTTTCTTGCGCTTTAAGTAAGGCTAAATAAGAACCGTTACGGGAGACTTCCGGGCAATATGGTGCTATCGTCAGAAGCACCATGCCGTCCCTCTGCAGCAAAGATCAGAAAAACTAAGTCAAAAAGTCACACGTCAGTCCTGAAACCCTAAGCATCAAATGAAGAGATAAAGAACTCAGCCAAGCATCGAATGGAATAAGAAACTGAACAAGAACAGAGAGCGAGGAGAGATACATGCAGAGGTTCCCTATCAGGTACCACAGCACGGATCTGCCACCTTGAACTCCTATCGGAGATCAGCAAACGGGGTACGAGAAAGCAGCTTCATGGAGCTTCCAGCAGGAGATAGAACAACTGGTAATCAGCAATATAGGCTTTCCCACCCCCCACCCTTCTTCACCCCTACTTAGCCTCCTCTGCTTCCTGCAGCCACAGTCTCTTGGCCGGGAAGCACCAGCTTCACCCCGGTGTCGCTTGGATTCCGCCTGCCCACACTGGCCTGCTCCCTGAGTGCCTTTTGTTGGCTGATGGTGTTGCTATTTTCCGCTTCTTTAGGTTTCTTCCTTACCTCTCACCACCTCCCCCTCCTTTCTCTCAAATACCTGGCTCCATGCGCCATCTTTGCTTCTTCCTGAAAGGCTGCGAAACACCACTCGACTGTGAAACTGCTTCCTGGCCCGTGTCGCCACGCTGGTAGGACCCCTAGGGCTTTTTTGATTATTTGCTCTGATTTGTTCTGTTTTGATTTGTTTGTTTATTGTATTTTTCTTTTCTTGGCTTAGGAGCCCCTTCTAGACGGGCAGTACTGCGTGGCTTGGAAGCTACTCCCTTCCTCTGCGCAGACGCACAGGGACATCCCTGGGAGCATTTATTTATTTTTGGGGGGGATTTGTTTTTGATTTTTTTTGTTTGTTTGTTTCTTTGTTTTGCTTTCTTCTCTCTCTAATTCTCTATTTGTCTGTCTTCATTTCCAGTTTCTTGATTTTTTCATTTTTTTCTTTTACCTCTTTTTTTTTATTTTTGTTTTTCCCCATTTCTCAGTCTCTCATCTCTCCACTCCAATAGCAAGCTCCCTTAGCACTCTTGTTTTGTGTGTATGTTTTTGGCTCCTGTTCCTCTCTCTTCTCTCTTATCTTTCCCATACCCATCCTAGCTCCACACATCACAATCTACCCCCTCCTTCCTGCCTACCTGCACCGTGCACTGCACTGAACATCACATTCCCAAGCAGCACAGGCACAGCCTACTGGAACCTTCCCTGCACTGATTCCTGGTCTGCACTGTCAGCCCTGGTACATGCCACAAACAACCTATCCCAGCAACTCCCCTTCAGCTGGACCTGCCCTGCTTTACCATAACTGAGTGACTGACCCTGCCCATTGGAGAAGGAGGTGAAAAGTATCGTGCCCACAGACAAGCAAACAACAAAGAACACAAAGCCCGCCTGCTCAGACATAACCAAGTAAAATAAAAAAGCAGGACAAAACTAACTAATCTACAATCAATAAATGAGGAAAATAACCACGGAATGCTCTGAAGTCAGCAAACAATATCAAAACATATACAGAAACAGGACAGGATGGTCCCAGTAGGCTTCCAAAATAAAACACCAGATGACCTTCCAGTAGAAGAGAAGGCATTAGACCTAACTGATAGGGAATTCAAATCTCTAATAATCAGAATTATCCATGAGTTGAAGCAAAAAGCAGACAAATATGAGAAAAAAGTAGACAAATTCATGGAAAAGGCAGACAGAAAAAAAATGGAAGAATTCAAGAAGATAATATAGGAACAAAATGCTAAAATGAATTCACAACTAGAGATCATACAAAAACAATTAGAAATCCAAAAGGTAAACAACAAGATTTCAGAAATGGACAGTGTCATAGAAGGGCTGAAGAGCAAGTTTGAAACAATGGAAGACAGGACCAGCAAAACTGAAGACAAACACTTGGATACAACTCTGAGGAAAAATCAGAAAAAAGAACAAAGAAAAATGAAGAAACACTGAGAATTATGTGGGATACAATCAAAAGCAAAAATCTGCAAGTGATCAGAGTTCCAGAACAGGGGGAGAAGACAAAACATGGAAAGGATCATTGAAGAATTGCTGACAGAAAACTTCCCCAGTATCATCAAATATGAAAAGCTGACCATCCAAGAAGCTTAACAAACCCCACAGAGGATAGATCCCAAAAGAAAATCACCAAGGCATATCATAATCACACTCGTTAAAAGACAAAGAATCCTGAGAGCAGCTCGAGAAAAACAAAAAGTCACATACAGATGAGAAACAATAAGACTAAGCTTGGATTATTCGGCAGAAACCATGCAGGCAAGAAGGCAATGGGCTGGCATATATAAAACTTTGAAATAAAAAAATTGCCAGCCAAGAATAATATACCTGCAAAACTCTCATTCAGATATGATGGTGAAATTAGGTCATTTGTAGATAAACAGAAATTAAGGGACCATGTAAAAACCAAACCAAACTTACAAGACTTATTAAAGGGAGTCCTTCGATCTGAGAATAAACAACATCAGACCACAGGCTGAATCTAGGACACAGAATTGTACTAGCCAGATACTAACCTAG